TTTGATAAGGCACGTTCTTTGATAAACACAGGCAAAAGTCAAGCAGAACGACGAAAACGCTCTAAAGTTTCGTTATATCGCGCGACATCGATAAAAGGATAAAAGCAGAAAAATATATTCTTTCTCACGCGATATCGTATTTAGAGCAAAGAGTAGCGAAGAAAAAGAGAGCATGGGAAACGAAAACAATTGACTCACTTGTATTTCGAGCAGCAGCTCCGTCTTCTTTCGTCTGATGTCGATTAGAATTTTCTGGTGTTCTGGCGTCAATTCTGCGCAACAGAAAAGAGCAATCTTATTGCATGCACTCGCTAATTGCATAAAAAAAAATTGTACAAAAGAACCAGAGGACATTCAATTTTTATCATTCCGAAGTATTTAACTGCGGCGAAGTCAAATTCTCGAATCGTAAAGTAATTTTAATAATAAAATTTTTTTTAAATAAAAATTCAACTACTTACGAAAGGTAAAATTTAACTAATGATAAGAGAAAAATTTAACCAACGATAAAAATTTAACTCGTGTCTTTGAAAGAAAAGGGACGTTTTTATTCTCAAGTTAAAACATCGAATAGACCGAAAGTTCTGTTTCAACGACAAAATATCCCTAACGATGGGTTTCGGATATTTCATCTTTGCATGTATTAAAAATAATAACGTGTAACACAGCTCTGTTCCAAAAGAATCTATTAAAAATATTACGTTGGTGCACGTATTCTATTTTTTACCTTGAATGTTTACAAACTTTTTCAAACACGAAGAAATCGTTTACAATCGATAGATAGAAACACCATGCACGTCGTAACAATTTGACAGTAATTTAAACTGCGGTACGTACGTGTCACGGTATATTTACATACACGTTTCAGCGTTAATTCATGCTAAACCGCGTTCGACGGACAGGTATTCGTTTGTTACACACGCGAACGACTTACAAGCGTTCCATTCCTCGAAACTCGCGGCGTGTCGGCGTGCAAAACGGAAACAGACGCTCGTACGCGAGCCAATTAAAACAAACAGACGCGAACGATTAATAATTGATCGTGAACTTGATTGAACGACGACCGGTCTCGATTGCAGCAGCGTTCGAACACAATAGCGCATCCTCGATATGCCAGTGAGGACCCGAGGAAGGGGGCCTCATTAACTCATCAATTTAACGACAGATCTAAAAATAGGTCTTTCGAATTAAGGCTGCGGTCGTGGTACACGCACTGAATAAATAGGATTAGGCCTCGAAGGGGAGCAAGTGGCAAACAAGTAGTTTTTTATTATAAATACCTTGAGCCGCTTTTCGCAAATTTTGATCTATCGTCAGAGAAATCCCACGCATCGCTGTACATCTTTTTATTATCGCACAATCGATCGAGAAACGTTAATTTAATTGATTCGTATCTTATAACTTTTTCATTGTATTTTTTTTTTTTTTTTTTTTTCACTATAAACACGTGCATCAAGCAAAAGATGAATACCGCTTCTTCGTTAATGCAACATCACTCTGACATTATATTCGTTATATATATATATTGTTAGGACACTTTATCGCTATAATTAGCGCCTCAGTTACACACGTGCGCTTGCGGACTAGTAGACATGGATCTTTCATTGTATCGATCGTTCTAAAAAAATAATGATAACGAGGAAGGAGCATCGATCATAAAGGATTGTTGGAAGTACACAGTGTGTATTGTAAAGTAGTTGAATTCACGTAAAGTTCATCGACACGCGTATCTTTCATCCGAAACAGTTTTTCCAAGTTCTTAAACTCATCGCTTTATACCCGTTTATTTAAATAAAAGGTCATTCAACTTCTCGCATCGTGTCGCGATTACGGGACACCTTGTACACCGTGCTTAAATAGTATTACTAACGACGGACGTGCGAGCAATTTAAATGCTGCGGTAAAAATACACTACTCTACACCACACTCCCAAAGCGTTAACCTTTAAGCACCACGAACTTTAGATTGCGAGCTCTCTTGTCGAACATTGGGCACGTGCCCCTATAATTTGATACTTCGTACGCAGTGTAATTAAATGCTAAAGGTGAACGTCGAGGAAATTTCGAAGAAACGTGAGAGAAAAAAAAAAAAAAAAAAAAGGAAATTGAATCAGAGCGTAGGAATGATAGTATGAGGAATAAAACGGCGGCCGTGGCGTGTAACTTGTCTGCTCGTCCGACGAGTTCTCCGAACATGAAAATACTGCAGGAGAGGGGAGGAGAAACGAAGGAGGAAATCTCGTACGCTGAGAGTTTCATATACCATTCATAATGCGTTCCGCCACCTGCGCTACGGTCACGGGGATACCGTATGATCCTCGGGGGTACCGTGCCTCGACCTCCGCGCGAGGTTATGCAATTCGAACGGGGTACGCTAACCTTTTCCTTTCGCGCGACGAACGGCAAATCGCGCCGCACGGATTAGGCTAGGTTACGTGGCCGAGCGGAACAATTAGAAACTGTTGCTTCGTCAATGGCACGAGGAACGCATAACGGGGTCGATAACCGTTTGCTCCAATAACGATTTGCTCCACAAATCACGGAAGGGTTTTCGTGGATTTTCGTTGCAATGCTCTTGATACATTGCCCCCGATAAATATCAATTAATTAACCTCTTGCGCTAAGTAACTGATTCGCGGACCATAACGAGTGACCAAACCGTATAAAAATAATTCGCCTTCTTTTTGAATTTATCGGCATATCATTGGATAGAAATTACTAATTGTAAGAAGTAATAAACTTGTTTTGCCTGGGTTATATTTCAGTATACTTAAAACTGAGAAGATATTGTCATTTCGGGCCAGATATTCTCGACGTGCGTGACACGTTATTTCACCGCAAGAGGTTAAAAGATCATCCTGAAACGAAATCGTCGGCAACGTGATGATGTATCGTGATTGAACCATAAACACACGATACGACGAGTTTGCGTAATCGCCGTGATTCACCAAGATATTTTGTTTCCAGATACACGAATGTAAACAATAAAGATAATCGGTATCGTCGAGTACGCGGACTTTTCTCTTGAATACCGTCTGATATTTACCAGTGGGTAACAATGTAAAATTGTTTCCGCGAGATTCTAGAATTCCAATAAATCTCTTCTTACTCGGCCGTTCAATCTCCTCCATTCGCTCTGCCTCCCTTCTCACTATCTCTCTCTCTCTCTCTCTGTGATGCTATGAGAAGCTGCATTTTTGTTGACAGATGGAAGCTACAAGGTTTAAAAGATTTCAAACGTTCTACGACGTTTCATCCAATACGGTAGATGCTACAAGACGAGAATCCGTGTTTAACAAATTCTATAGATATTCTCGAGCGATAGAAAATTTCGTTTTGTTTATGAGATGTACACAATGGTAAAAGGGAAAGAGCGCGTGCGCTCTGACAGAGAAAACCTAGATTTTTGCCAGGTTACTGCGCTCGTACAGATGATTGTACTAGGTTTATTAAAAGGTTTCTTACCTGTTGTGCCGAACTGGTCGAGCTGGTGAGCACCAGAATTTACTCCCGCACCCCCCAGACCGTCCAGATCCTGCCACATTTCCGAAAACACGCACTTTCCGGACGCACGCACGCACAGAATCACCCACCTTCACTCAAGCGGCGCCATTTTCACTGTGTACTGATTACTCTTGGACTTAAATGATCTGAGCGCCCTCCTCGGTGCCGAGGATCAATCGTGAACTAACAGCACAGTAGTGTTCGTCTTTTATCGACGTTTGCACAATTGAATTATCTCACGGAAAATTCACCGAATAATAATAATTTCACTCGTTTCGAGTATTCGTTTAATTTATTTTAATATTTACAAAGCTAATGTACTGTTACATACTTATTTTTGAAGAAATAAAGAAAACTTTAAAACGCTGCTTGCTATGTTGAATTTGCGTATAAAAATAAGATCAACGTACTTGTAAATATTTTATAAAAGGATCAAAAATATATAAAAAATTTTTTTCTTGTTATTGCTGTTTTATCAACACGCGATAACGAAGATAATTAATTTACCAACTTCTATTCAAATTGCTGCTCCTGCACCTACTGCAACCACTAACGCCTGCATTGCGACTATGATTGCATATAAAATCCATGCATTATATTATAGATCCAGATTCATAAATTATTACAATACAGTATACAGTCCGAAACAAAAATATGCGAATAGATAGTAGAAGTAGATGTCAATGGAGTTGAATTGAAATAATTTTGTATTTTTATTTATTACATATCCTTATAGTTTAAGTTTAACATTTTTTGTCAACTGTGACGATTGTCATAGTTCTTACATTTATGTAACTTCTTACATGATTCATCGCATTTCATTGCATGTTCTTACAAAACGTTTTATAATTGCAGACACGTGATATTACGTTTTCTAAAGTTATAAATGACTGATAGTAATATTTCGTATTCATTCCGCAATGCAATTATCATATTAATTTGTTCAACACAAGGCGTGACGGATGTTTGTGCAGTTTACAATACTGAACTAAGCAAAAATTGCAGAGAACGTTGCATGAATAGCACGGTAACGTAATAGTTCCTTCCTTCTGTCCTTCAAATTTGTATAACTGCAAAATAACTGTCAAGGTAAAAATATAGTTGTAAATATAGAACATAATAATAAATAGACTATAGACAAAAGCGAATTCTTTTAAAGTTTTTATTTTCTAAAGAAAATAGCCAAGGAAATTACTAAAATAGTAGATGTCATAATAAATTTAAAACCATATTTTTCACGCAATATTTTAAAAAAATTGGAAGATGAAGCATTGTCTGCTACTAAGGTCCCGTAGCGACAACAATAAAAAAATAGTAATTGAAACATTTTACAATGCATTTCGAAAACTTATCAGTAACCTGTACGGAAATAAAGTTTGTAAAGAAATAATTTTCTAATTATTATAATTGCCTAGTTATCGACAAATAAGCAATGTGACTTTAGTAAAATTTTGATCGCGCAGTGTACGTTCAGCTTTAATTACGCATGCGCGCGACCACCCTTATTCGACCGTGTATGAACGACAGACGTGTTACTTACATACAGTATCCAGCAGGCAGATATACACAATTCTTAATTTATTGAAAAAAACTATCTCCGGAATCAGTACGAGAAATTACTTAAATGCTTGGACATTATACATGATAGACAGGTTGTTTACACTTTGAAGTTTCGTAAATTTTATTCATATATCTGGAGTATCAATGGAATACCCATCTCCAGATTTATTCGGAATGACAAGGAAGAAAGAGAAGAAAAATTCCGATTGAACAGTTTCTGAGCAAGTGCTGGGACAAGAATATTTATCGACAAAGTGCTGTTAGTGCGACTAATCAAAGATGATGCGTATTAACCAAGAACGTGCTTCGAGCCGGTAGTGTTTGTCACAAAAGAATCATTTATTCCAATACAAATGTGCAATGCTACGTTTCTTCGAAAGATACGCCCGTGCCAAACAACAGAATCGCTCTTACGTTTATCGATTCTATGGGACGAACTGATTTGAAAAGAGGGACCGGTGAGTACGCTATACAACACAACATAAATTAATAATTCTTTGTTTTGTTTCATTTCACGTATAGAAGAATAACATACACTCTGCCACTTTAGCATTTCATCTTATTTTATTATATACAAAAATATATATTTATCTGGTGAAATATTTCTCTGTCACAAGCATAAAAGATGTTAATAGAACGGTCTGTATTTTTATCCAGTAAAAAAATTATTTAAATTGAGTTTTGATTGGCCAAATGGCTCTTCAGACTTATCCGAGCAATTCGACTCGTGCAGTAATTCGAACGATTTGAAAAATTTCAGATTTGTGTTTGGATTGGAACTGTGACTTGTGTTCTGAAGTCGAGTACACATTGACTGAGCAAAAGATAATGTACTTGTAAATTTTAAAAATTTATTACAAATACGTAATTTCAGAACTTAGTAGTCTAGTAATCCATAATATTTACAAATGAAAGAAATATTCTGAGCTAAGCGAAACTTCAGTGCCAAGTTCTGTGGTTTCGTCGCAGGAGTTTTTATGAATAATGAAGAGATTAAATATCAAGACAATCAATACTCTTTATCAGAGTATAATCAAAGTATTAATCTTACATCACGCGAGATATGAATTAAAAATTCTAACGATATAAAAATGTATCGTACATATGCTTCAAGATTACAGTCGTGAAATATACCACGTTTAACGCGATGCGATCGTGAGAGCTTTTCCTACATTTATATTACTTTACATGTAAGTACTCGAACTACGAAAGTAAGTTGTACAACTGCTTCTGTTCTACACGTGATAATATTGCTTATATACCAATAGAAATATACGATAGAGGGCACTATCTATTGATAAAAATATATTTTATTTCTTGATAAAAATATTTTATCTATTGATTAAAAAACTAAGAAGAGGTTGGCAGTTCCCCGTAAGAGCGATATCGTGAGTTCACTTCGCTTAACGCTGTCTACTTTCAATAGATATGTCCGTTTAATCAATGCATGTGTTTTATTTTTATATGCATCTATCGTATTAGTCGTATTATACTAATGTTGCTGATGGAAAGCATTTTCTCGCTTCTAACGCGGTCACGTAACTGGCAGACTATTGATTGTCATTCAAGGAAAATGAAGAAAAGATTACTCCTCTGTTTTCTATGCGCCATTATACTCTTCATTCTGATGGTCTCCACTGATAATGATTTCATTCAACATGTGTCACCGTTCGTAATTGGTGAATGGAACGACATCACATGTTACGAAGAAGAGAGCGCATCGAATGGTCTTCCGGATTTTGATCCGGAGTTAGGTACGTTTGATAAATTCAGCTTTTTTTTTTTAATTTTTCGCCATCGGCACTAACAAAAATAGCTTAAGTGGGAAGGAGCGAATTCGGCACATTAAATTAAGTGAAAAAGGTTCGTACAAACATACAGCGATTTCATTTTTGAGCTTACAGCTTGTTTTAATGTTATAATGATTTCTTATCTGTTTTCGAAGAAATATCGATCTTTGTCCTATGTCCTCGAAATATTTACCACTATCTTCAGTACAGCCATAAATATATCTTAGACACTATCGCCATAAATAAATATATCAGAGATTATCGAACACGTCCAAATGCACACATAGTGCAGCTGTTACACGAATGCTATCGGCAAATTTGATCATTAAATTTTAAATTTCTTCATAAGTAATAGTGGGGATTCGGATTCACTCTGCTGAAATCACTCCTACAGTGCTTCCCACGTAAACCACTATATATGTATGTACGTAGTAATTGTTTTGCTATGAAGTATCTATTACTTTTTATAATTGTATTACATTCACTCGATAGTATTTCATACCAGCTAGCCTTTTATCTCATCCGGTGATTACAATATAAACTTTTTCTTTTCCTATCTTATCTTGAGAGTACCTTCCTATCTTATCTCCCTACTGTGAATTTTTTTATTTGAATTTTACGCTCAATTTAACAAGGAGAATTTGTAATATTAAAAAATTTTTTTAACTTGAAATTCTTTTTCTTAATTTCTGAGAAACATATGTTATAAACATATCTATTTTGGATAGATAATTTTAGTTTAATCGTACAATTATTTCTACGTAAATTCATTGAAACAAAAATTGAACTATGTTTCTTGAGAATACACGTGTCTTTAAATGCACTGCAAATCTCATCATTGTCAATAACACGGTAAATTCAATCAAGATGAATAAACTGAGACCGTGTATTAAAGTACCATGTAAACGGGGGGATAATTTACAGTAGCATGTCAATAGAGGGACGTATACATATATGTACGTATACATATACGTACATACGCTGCCCCGTTTGTTTTACATGCTCAATTTACGTAACTTGGCGTAGATTTATGCAATTGTTTAATCGAGATATTTTGATAATATCATTAATATTTCAAAAAACATTAGAAATTATTATTAAAAGAAGAAATTGAAAATTCAGTAATGTTATTTTAGTTGATCATATTTTTCTTTCTTACTACGTAAACTGACTCGTGCGAAACAAAAGCGACCGATGCTCTTTACTGTCACATTATCGTTAGATCGTTTTAAGCAATCAATCACGTACTATGTAACTATGTATATTGATCACAGATAAACCAACAACGGATAGAAATATCTTTTTCCACGAAACATCTTGTTTCGACGAGGATGGTTTAGTGCTGAATGCTCGCCAAGCGTGTGCCGTCGAATCAGCAGCTAAAATGAATCCAAATATGAATGTATATTTGCTGTTTGTATCCCCTTCAAAAATCTCGAACCAATCGAGAGAAATGTTTCATCAACTGCAGAGCTATTCGAATGTTCGGATCAGGCATATCAAACCGGAAGAATACGTAAAGAACACACCTCTGGACCTATGGTATAGAAGTGGCGTATTGAAAAAAAGTCGGTGGCCAAGAAGTCACATGTCAGATATTCTTAGATATTTGACACTTTGGAAATACGGAGGAATATACTTGGACCTGGATGTCGTTGTCATTACGTAAGGGCATTTTCAATAATTTACAGCCAATATAGGATCACATATATCATATACCTAGACAAGTACTCCTTCTTATATGTTATACAGCAATATTTTAAAACTTGAAATTTTTAATTCATGTTTCATACGTACTACTACCTGTAAGATTACCTAAGAAATAGATCGAAGCAAGTATACTAATTACAAGATTCGACTACGTATTGTACGAAACGCTTTCTGTGGCAGATCCTTCGAACATTTAACAAATTTTGCCGGTGCCGAGGATTGGGATAATGTTGCCGCCGGTGTCGTGGGATTTGATGCTACGGCGCTTGGTCGTCGCATAGCTGATGCCTGCATACGCGATGTACGAGCGAATTTTCGAGGTGATATTTGGGGCAACAATGGTCCTGGTGTGATTACTAGAACGCTGCAAAAACTCTGTTCAACTAAACACGTGAGTATACTATAGTTTAAATACTTGTATAATAAATTGATTTTCTGAAGAAAGAAGCGTCACATAGTATAATAAAAATAATAAATGGATATTTAATAGAAATTTTATTTTATAAAGTAATATATATTAAGTACATATGTATTATGCAGTATAACAATGTAATAGTATGCAAGTGAAGTCAAGAATTCTGCAACTGTAATATTCAGAAAAATCAATATTCTATGCTAGTATGTATTGCCATATGTATGCGCACTATGCTATTAGAAAAATCAAGATTATACGGCGCGTAAAACTCTTCCGATTTGTAATATGTACGCTGATTGAGAAAGCTATAAATACTTTGTCCAATTTAAATAATTTGAATTGATGAATTAAATATGAGAATAAAAATGAATATGTAAATAACATTTACCTGTTTCTTACCTCAGGTTCGAGACATGACCACAAGTCGGTGTCATGGCTTTAAAGTTTTTTCTCCTTCGGCATTTTATCCGATCCATTACAAGAAATGGAAGGTATACTTTAAGACAAAAGACAGGAACAAAACGATGAAGATTGTGGAAAAAGCGATGGCCATTCACGTATGGAATAAGTTCAGCAAGTCAGAAAAAGTGAATGTAAATAGTGATGTTCCGTACGTCATAATCGCGAGGAATCACTGTCCAAGAGTCTTTAATAATTGTGGAGAGGTATTTTAATGAATAACTACGACTGAATTTAAATACAAAAGTTGCAATAAAAACACAATCACATCATCTTCTATACCACGCCACGCATCTGTCTTTTACAATAATGCTTGCAATAATTCTATTATTTATTTAAATATTTAATTTCATGTTTTTCTTAAGATATTGATAATGTTGGTAAATAATGTCAAAATCATTGATTGAAGAACAAATTATGACAATATCAAAGACTAAATTTGATGAAAAAAGAAAAAGAATGAAAATAAATAACATGTATGTGATATGTGTTACATATCTATGATATAGATAATAATAAAAGGCTAAAAGCTTTAAGTATTAAAATAGTTAAGTATTCGTTAAAATATTAGACCAATAAACTTTAATTGAATGCGACGTTATTTGTGAATTGTGTAAAGAATGATTAAGAGAGAATAGTATCATGTATCTAAATGTACATAATTGCATGGACCTAGAGAAAATTTTTTAATTTTTAAAAACATTGATACTATGAATTATTTTTCCGCTACGTAATTATATACGTAATTATATACCTTTGCGTATTGTGTTTAAATAGTATCATTTTGTCTTTTATTAATATGACAAGCAAAGAAAGGAATTAAGAAAAATAAATATCTATTTAAAAGTTTCATTTGAAAGGAAAATACGAGCAGATGCTAGGTGATGTAATACTTATATGTATATGTATATACAGATAATAATACGATCGCCCAAATATCTGCCGTATTTTGTATCAAAAAACTTCTCAGGAGTTTAAAATACAATAAATATTTAAATGATCCCATTTAGTTGATCCGCGTAACTTGATTATCTCGAATATGCATTACATAATAGCGAATGAATATAAAAATGAACATTTGTAACATTAAAATATGAAAATTTAACGCCTGGAAAGAGAATGTTTATATAACAAAAATGAATGTTAGAAAATCATATTATCTAAAAGATATATTTAATTTCTAAATATAAACGTTAATGATGTGGAGAAGTTTAAGAAAAAATTAACTATTTTTTTATATTCTTTCCTGTAAAATACTTAATAGCAATATATAAATCATTCAATATTTCTAGTTGATGAAATATCATTACACAATACAATGTAAATATAAAATGTAAATACAAGAATCTTGTGTACTGTTTTTGAAGTTTCTATGTGTTTTATATGTATTTACGATTGTTTGCATATCCTCGTTGTATTTTATGAAAAAAATAAAAAATTTTAGAACCTTATGTATGAAGGTAATTTTTTTATTAATTCTATTTATAACATTAGAAATAAAAAAGAGCAATATATATAAAAGAAATGCTATATATATCTTACATTGTGTACAATACTATTATAATATTCTTTTAATACAATTATTAAAATTTAAAAAAGACTTGTACAATTAAATTTACATAATTAACAATTACCGAGATTTTAGAAAAATGAAGGACTAGAACATAAAGTATTAGTACATAAAAATACACAAAATGAATACTTAAGTCCTACATTCGTCCTACATTTGTACGTGTCATATATATATACATATGAATAAATAATGTTGGAGTAGGTAAATACATATAGTGAGTGATTACATATAAATAATATAAATACATATAAATAATATAAATACATATAAATTGTTACATTCATAATGCATATATATATATATATGTATATATACGTAAAATTACAAATAAAATTTCTTTAAAAAAAAACTATTTTTCATTAAAATAAATTATTAAATAAATATTAAATTTTCATTAAAATAAATAAATAAATAAACTATTTTTCATTAAAATTTTTCATTAAAATAAAGCAGGAATATGTAAATTATTACGAAATAAATGTAAAAGTTGATCATCTAGTGAATTTTTTTTGTAAGAATAAACTACACGAAACCATCTAGAAATTTATAGCTCGTGCCACAAACGTCGCTATGAAACTGTCGGAAAAAACACAAAGAATGTACGAGTTGTGAATAAAAGATTGTTACAGCGTTGAAACATCGATTTGTTGTGAAAAAAGTTAAAAAGATAACCAATATTATGTTCGCTCATTTTTTATTGTAATGTATCAATTAAGTTTATTCTTTCTCGTATTGTGTATAATTCATCCGCATGCATAACTAGCGTTGAAATAGTTTTCTTCAATAACCTAACCTCTCTAAAATACGTTGGAAGAGATTTTGTACAAAATCTGTGAACAGAATGGCGGTGGGATCGACGAAAGTAGTACAGGTGACAAATATTGCACCTCAAGCGACGAAAGATCAAATGCAAACTTTATTTGGGTATCTCGGAAAAATAGAAGATATCAGATTGTATCCTACTATACGAGACGTCGCTGTACCTGTTCAATCTCGTATTTGCTATATAAAATTTCACGACCAAGGATGCGTTGCAGTTGCTCAGCATATGACAAACACTGTTTTCATTGATCGTGCATTAATTGTAATACCTTACCAGAATGGAGACATTCCAGATGAACAGAGAGCTCTTGAATTAACAAATAACGGCACAGTTGTTCCCGGTAAGTATTAATGATAATCAGATTTTCATTTTATTTCATTCTCTTTTAAACTTTATTTTTAGTTATATATATAAACATAAATTTTTTTTTTTTTTACAGGTCTTTATCCTTCCGAGCCCAAATTACCACCAAATGTTGTAAATGCAATAGAAGGGATTCCTCCAAATCATGTTATTACCACCATGGATCCAAAATTAGAGGCAAACGGATTACCACCTTACCCACATTTACCTGGTCATTTAGATAGTAGAAGAATCGAAGAAATAAGAAGAACACTTGTTCTGGCCAATTTAGATCCTTCTGTAACGACAGATCACTTATTAGATTTCTTCAGTAATAACAATGTTGAAGTGAAGTATTTACGCATGTGTACCAGAGATTCAGATACAGAGCACTATGCACTGGTCGAACTCTCTGAACAAGCAGCTGTAGTTTCTGCGTTATTATTGAATGGAAAGCTGCTTATGGATAGACCAATTAAAATTTATCATTCAACTCAGGCAATAGCAAAACCGGAAGCAAAAAGTAATGAAGCAGCACAAAAAGAAATAGAAGAAGCTATGTCCAGAGTAAAGGAAGCTCACAATTTAATTTCAGCCGCGATAGATCCGATGATTGGAATGCTGTCGAAGGATAAACGAAGTCGCAGTGGTTCTCGCAGCCGAAAGTCTCGATCTAGATCCAGAGGGCGTAGTAGACGATCCAGATCGCGCAAAAGATCACGTTCCCGTCACAGGCGTTCACGTTCGCGTCATCGACGAAGATCAAGATCACGATCAAAACGTTCTCGCTCTAAAGATCGTAGACGAAAGTCACCGTCTCGTAGAAGAAGTAGCTCTCGTGGCCGACATCGATCTCGTTCTAGATCTCGCCGTTCTCGATCTCGTAGATCAAGATCCAAATCCAAAGATCGCAAGAAAAGATCTCCTCGTCGGAGAAGCCGTTCTCGGTCTCGGAGTAAACGTTCGAAATCAAAGTCGAGACGATCTAGATCTAAATCCAAGTCCAGATCTTCAAAGTCTAAGTATTCTGAGAAATCAAAGGACAAAGACAAAGACAGAAGAAGCAAAGATAAATCAGATAATGGCAAAAAGAATGACGGTGACAAGGCTGATAAGGAAAAGAGTGAAAAGAAATCTAGCAAAGAAAAGAAATCTGACAAAGAATCAAAATCTGATGAAAAAAATAGAAATACATCTGAAAATAACGAAACAAAAGAGAAAACAGAATCTGAAACTTGAACCTTAAATTATAACATAGAAAAATTTATTTGCGTCTCTCGATCATTTTGTTATTTTAATGTTACATGTAATGTATCGATCAATAAAAAATATAAAGTTTTCGAAGATGCTTTTAGCTTGTATGTACACGTATGTACATATATTAATACAATTGTAATAACATAAATAATGAATTCATCTTTATTGCTATATTTTAATTCTTTGCCTAATCTTTAACAAACTTGGTAATTAATAATAAATAATAATATTTAATGTTTCCTTTAAAATCGTTTTGAATACGTATATGCATTTGTTAAACAATATTAAATTGTTATGAATATTTGACATATGACATAAATTTTGTAGATTTTTATAATAATACAAAAAATGTGTAAGCGCAATTTCAAATTATCGAAAATAATTATCAAATTTGTAGAATTTCAGAAATATTTCTCAACAGTCCATTTTAATTATTATACTTCTTTATTCTTCGTTATTACTTCGTTATTCACAGATTCGTGAAAAAATATTCTCATTTCTTGAAATTTTGTATTAACTTTCTTGTCATTGACATACATGGTAATAAATAATTGAATTTTATATATTCCTAGTTTTTCTCTTTGTGTGATTTTGAAATGTGCGCTATTTATTCGGGGGCAGCACTAACTACTAATTGAGGAATTGATTGTTGCAATCTCCTTTCAATAACTTTTTGTGTTCCTTGATTTAAAGTGATAGTGAATTATGGTATTACAATTATTAAGATATTTTAAGTGACAAACGAATGAATTTACTTAGTTTATTTAATTGCAAATTAAAGAAATTTTAGCAATAGAATATAGTCGAACATAACGTTTGATTATATACATACATGAAAGATTGACAGTGATGTAAGTCTGAAATTTTTATGTACGATAAAAGATATACGACAATATTTATAAATTATTCGAAGTATTAAGAAATTTTAATATTCAAAATCGCTAGAAAATGATTTGTATTTTAAAGAGAAAAATGTCATTTTATTTATCTTTTCTGTCTATAGTTCTAACATACGAGGTTAAATGGTAAAGATGACATCTGTAGATGAGGGGAAAATAAAACAAAGTCTATCGAAAGTGTGTATTATATATCTTTCTCGAATGTATACGTGTATTTTTTAATGATATTTATGAAATACATTTTATCTTTCAGTATCAAAATGCTGATATCACTAAAAAACATGTCATGAAAGTTTTGAATCTTTATAAGGGTCTAAAATACAATGTAGAACCATTTGGTAGGTATTAGAAATGTCTCTTCTTTTAAATTTATTTATTTTTAATCTTTTAACAATGTATCGGGAAGTAAATGTAAGAAACATAACTTTATTAATTTATTTCTATTATGTTTTTTTCTATGATAGTATTTAACGATGGATCACATAAAGAATTGTTTAATTTACAAGGAACAATACCTGTATCTTATAAAGGTAATAAAAATAAAAAACAATTATAAATATACAAACTGAATTGTTATATTATTATAATAATATTAGGTACTTATTACAACATTCCAATATGTATATGGCTGATGGACACACACCCTAATAATGCACCTATGTGCTATGTTAAGCCTACTGCTGACATGAATATTAAAGTGAGCATGTTTGTTGATCACAATGGAAAGATTTATTTACCATACCTTCATGATTGGTTACCAGTGAGTAATTTATATAGCTGTCTTATAAGTCATTGTTCAATAATATCTTTATAATAGTTTATTGTCGTTATGCATTGTTTAGCATTCATCTGATTTACTTAGCCTAATTCAAATAATGATTGTAACATTTGGAGAACAACCACCTGTTTATGCTAAACCACGGAGTATACAAACAAATTCTATACCTTATCCAGTACAACGTAAGTATACATCATTTCTGGATATTTGTGTTAAAAATTCTAATATTAAAATATGCAAATATATATAGCTTTCATGCCTGTACCTGCAAGTGGAACACATATTCCTGGTACTAATTTTCCACCATATCCACAAAACTCACAGTATGCAGGTGGAAGTAATATTTATCCTCCATATATGTCTACAACATCTTCTGGATTTCCATATCAAGGCTCATACAGTTCATATGGAGGAAGTACATCAAATTATCCATCTCAAGGATGTACTGGCTCTTTTCCATACCCTCCATCAACACAACCAGTAAGTTATAATTTTTAACAAGTAAATGATATTTGAGTACTAATTATCTTTTTATGATTTTCAAGTCTCCAACAGTACCTGCTACTGCTGGTGCATCAGGTACAATTACTGAAGAACATATTAGAGCATCTTTGTTGTCAGCAGTAGAAGACAAATTAAGACGAAGACTTAAAGAACAGTTCTCACAGTTGTTAGCTGAGCTAGAAACGTTACGTCGAACGCAACAAGAACTTTCAAGCGGATCTGATCACCTTAGCGAATTGTTCAGTAAATTAAAGAGGGAGCAAACTGAACTTGAAAAAAATATAACTATACTCCAAGATAAAGAAGCTGAATTGGAAAAAGAAATTGCAAAACTTTCTGACAATCAGTCTATAGACGTTGATGAAGCTGTGACAACGATCGCACCACTTTACAAACAGTATGTATTTTTAAATAATTTGTTTGTTATTGTTTTCTTTTCTCTTTGACACAACATTATTGTTTTTTGCATAATTGTAGAATGTTAAACGCATATGCGGAAGAAGCAGCAACGGAAGATGCTATATATTACTTGGGTGAAGCTTTACGTTGTGGTATCATAGATTTAGATGCATTTTTAAAACAAGTACGACAACTTTCACGCAGACAATTCATGCTAAGAGCACTTATGCAACGCTGTCGCCAAAAAGCAGGATTGGCTGGTTAATCATTTTACTCAATTTTTATAAAGTTGCTCCATTTAATATTTTATTTTATTACAAACGATATATGCAAGACGAACTATGTAAATTCCACAATAATAGAGATATGTTATAAAAAAGAGAAACACCCTCGTTACAGAAATTGTATGCTATATATACAGTAATGTATTTTTGTTTCATGTTGTATACATTATTTTGTTCGTAACAAAGAATATAACGTAAAGCTTTTATACATAAAAACGAACAAAAAATAAACACACATACACACATATATATGTGTGTGTGTGTATGCGTATAAAATGAACAAATGAAAATTAAACAATTGTACTAAAAATAAATATCCTTGTTTTACGAGGTTATATTTCTAAATATACTGTATTCAAAAATGTGTAAAGTATGCGAAATTTTTAATTGACTTTTTTTAAAATCATAAAAAAATTATGTACCTCAAGTAGCTTTAGATATATATTAAAAAATATAAATGCTTGTTTTTTGTGTGATAAATGTATAAATTGATCACTACATTGCACAATTTAATAAAAATACATTGTTTTTATTCTTAATGATGTGAAATTATTATAAAATTAAATGCTATTATACATAATTTTAAAATTAGTTTTTCTCACTGATAGGATCAATCTGAAACAAAAAGATAAAGATGAATATAATGAAAAATTACAGTGTAATTTTATTGTTATAAATTTTTATAAAATAATATACCTATACATAAATTCCAACCCAAAGTAGTAGAAATAATATACCAAAGCCAGAAAATATTGCTGCTACTAGAGAAATTAATAATTCTTTAAACATGTCCCTTGTAAATTTTGTGCTAGTGACCTCGTATACAAAGAACCATGCTGTAAAAAATATTCCAATTCCTAATAGCACCACTGCCAATAATGGAAAAATTGCAGGATTTATAGGAGAGACATATCTTGTCATAGATTCGATTTCCACCTAAATCAAAATAACAAGAACTTCTTAAAAAAAACAAATTCACTTCCTCATTTATTTGGCATTCATTTACATAAAATACACATTTATTTTATGTATATTGTTTTTATGAATGTTGTTTCAAAATTTTAAAATAAATATTAATATAAACATATAATTATAATTTTTATATTTCTCAACTGGAATGAAAGTTTTTGCATAAATGATTTCATAATAACAATATTAAGTAAAATATCTATAATGTATATAACACTACCTATAAAACCTATAACAATAAACACAGACATATTATTAATTAAATAAATATATATTTTTGAACATTAATTAAATAAATAAATAAATAATTAATTAAATAAAAGTTTTTGAACAATCTCATGGTTTAGAAGTACCGGAAAGTAATTCCGTAAAATTATAATTATATTATATACAATACAAAATATTATACTGAATATAATAAAATAAAAAACAAATTCATACACTCACCATTGTATCAAATAAATATTTTGACGTGGCTTACAGGACACGTAAAACTACACGCTACTAACGACAGTAGCGACAAGTATGTAATCTTACTCTGCAAACTTCAGTATAATGTATATACTCGTGAAGGGAGTAAATATATGTAAATGAGCTACCAATAGTCAAAACATAAATTACTCGAATTTTTGAATTGAATTAAATGAATAAAAAATGTTATTACTAACAAGCAATTTATTAATTCATCGTTTGTCCACGTTATAAAAGATAATGATTAAAAGAAGAAAAAAAATGATACGACAAAAGGAATTTTACACAATGATTATATTTTCTTAATCGTAAAATTTAAAAAAATGTAATTCTAATTTCCTATTTATGGATTTTTTATTTCATGTTGATATTTTCAAAAATTATAATAATTAGCAATGTTTAGCTACATATAACGTAATTGACAGTGTGTATCTCATACAATATTATAAATGCTTTTTTAAGAGATTATTTTTCTAATAAACATATCTTACATATCTATCGAAGGTAACTTCGTTTTCAACAAAAGTTCTTTTCCGTGATTATACGTTTAGATCAATTGTTTTAAATTATTTGCATAATAATTATTCCATAGTTATCAAAAATATATAATACATGTTATAAAGAATATCTTTTTTAATGTCAGTAACCTTTAACTGCGATTGTTTCGAAATCGATAGTTTGTCACCATGATATGATTCATAAGACATAACATAGTATTATATTTCTATTCTTTATACTCTTTGACATCTACAAGTATTTCTTGTACGTACTATAAAGAGTTGTGTATATATTGAATAATTAAATATAATAATAATACTTTTTAATAAAATCAGAAGGAATTGAATTTTACTTGTAATTACAAAAATAATTATTAATAGAAAATAGTTAATCTTATAATTATATATTTACAATTATATATTTCTTGATATTAATAAAATATCTTTTTACCATATTTACCATTATTTACAGATAAACATGGCAAAGAATTCGTTGTCAGAGCAATTCTCCTTGAGGTGGAACAATTTTTCTAATAATTTAACATCTGGGTTTTTAAATCATCTTACTGAAAACGATCTAGTTGATGTTACACTTGCAGTAGAGGGTCAACTATTACAAGCACACAAATTAGTTCTATCAGTATGTAGTCCATACTTCAAAAATATATTTAAGGTACATAAATAATTATTTTGCATGTACGCGTGTATGTACATTATGATTGCTCAGAAAGAAACTTCTTAGAATTATTTTGTAGGAAAATCCTTGTCAACATCCAGTAATTATTCTTAAGGACATAAAATATACTGAAATTGAGTCATTATTGAAATTTATGTATCAAGGTGAAATTAATATCAATCAAGAAGATTTATCTACTTTCCTAAAAGTGGCACAAACATTACAGATAAGAGGACTCACAACAGATACAAGTAGCACAAATTCATTTCCTAGTTGCGATAGTCAATTAGATATTGATTCTAATATTCAAAATATTGCTCAATCAAATTTAAGTACAATAAATAAAACTTCCAAAGATATAGAAATGATGGATAGAAGAAAGAGATCACGTGATATAACAAAAAAGAGTTACAAGAGAAAGAAACAGGATACATCAGTAATATCAGAAAACACTCATGATGTATCTAATGAAAACCAGGATAATGATAATCAGGAAATCCTGTTTTTAACAAGTAATACAAATAATGAGACAAATGAAATTGCAGATGAAGAAGAGAATATTAATATTCCTACTGCAAAAATTAATGATAGTGATAGAAGCGAAGATAATACTTTACCACATTTTTCCTTAAATACTGAAAGTTCAAGAGAAAATTCAACTCAGCAAGGTAGAGAATTTATAGATACCTATTCTATGAATGGTTTAAGCTCAATATAGAAATGATATTCTGAAGTTAATAGAGTAATAATAATATGTTATAATATTATGTTTTGTTAATATTATTAACTATGTTTTAATATTATAGATATTGAACCAGTGATTTACAGGCTTTCTGCACGTGGTCGGCCACAATTAGTCCATGAGGGATATGTTTATAATTTGACTTCTCGCTCTGAGGGTTTGAATAGATCTCACTATAGATGTGCTGAACAACATCGCGGTTGTAAAGGTAAATGTGCGGTTATCGCTGAAAGATTTATGCCTACAGGTGTGCATGATCATAATCATCCACCTGGGTATCAATCAGAACATGATTACAGAAAAAAGAAAGGTTTAGATTTAGATGCCGCTTAAATCATAAATCATTAATTTTAAACTTATAAGCAGCATTTTATCATGTTACTTACTATTTTATTGTTGAAATTTTAATAAGAATGAAAAGTACTTTCCAAATTCATAAAAAACATACAGTATTTTTAAAGTAGGAAATATTCATTTGTTGTGCAATTTACAATGAAAAAGTTCATTGCAATTCATTGCAAAATTTAATACATTGCAATATTGCAAGAATTATACAACTATACATAATAATATATATTATATATAACAATAAGCCAGTGTGGTGTATGAACCATTGTATTTCAATTAACTGTGATGCACTTTTTTGAGATATATAGAAGAATACAATTTAAAAAGAATGACGAGTACATTCCATTTAGTATTACATTTAATTCGCATTAAAGCCAAATAAAAGTATTTAATTTATGTTATTTGTTTACATGTAGAATACTGTTTTTCATGTAATAAATGTAATTTGTTTGATACATGCACAGATGTAAATACGTATGTATGTACATATGTACATATAAAATGAATATTTTACTTACTTATATGTAAATTATATAATAATAATTTTCATATGTTATTAAAGAGAATTTAGTAGTATGTATTAATCTAAATTAGAGAAATTGAATAGATAAAGTCTAACAATATAGAAAACACTAAAAATTATAAAAAGTTTATTTTTATATTACACTTTGTAAAATTCTTTTGTTAAACACTAAAGTTGCCAAAATTAATGTGATAGTGCTCATAAATATTCAATTTCTAAGAAATTTACTTATAATTTATGTAGAAATTTATAGATCTATAAAAAACATGAAAACGATCTTTTCATAGAAAATATAGGAATCAATGCAGGCTGAAAAAGAATTCAAATAATAGGCAGTTTTGTTTTATAATCTTGCTCAATTTTATCCTGCACCCATAAAATCTTTAAATATTTATTCAAAATGCATGTTTATTTCTCATGAAAATATTAATGCCGCCTAGCCATCTTTTTTTCCAACTTCCGTTGTTTTTTCTCACTAATCTCAGGTTGCTCTGGAGCAGAAGCAAAAAACCATGGAGCTAATATTTGCTTCCATAGCATCCAACCTCCTCTCAATGGTACCTGTTATGATAATACAATATAGGTTTCATAATCTATTTAAATATTTTATGTAAGTTTTAACTTAAAGATTGAGAGGAGTGTAAGAAATAAAAAGTTATTTCAAAGCATTTTATAATTTATGACAAGTTAATATACTATTTTATATTTATATCATTTTATATTTATATTTTATTAAGTATACTTACAAGGAACCATAACAACCAAAAATAATTTGATATAAGAGAAAGTACTTGTACTCCTGAAGTTAATATAATTAAATCTTTTACATGTCTGAAATAACACGAAAATATCATTATATTTATCAAAACTGTTACAATCTAATAAAATGTTATATTATTTAAAGAAGTTATTAGAGTATTTTGTGATATTTACTCTGCTATACCTCCTTCCATATTAAGATCAATTCCAGAATCTAAAAGCTGTCCAGATTCTGAATATGTTGCGTGTGCTATATATTTCATAAACTGATAACTTCCTATATATACAATTGCAGAAAATACAGTTAATGTCTGTAAGCACAATATATAATAAAACAATCTATATTGCTATATAAAATAGTGTGACATTTTAAATATAAAACTCACTGTTGATAATGTTGAAAAATTAAAGAACAACATTGTAACAGTAAAATATATTGCTATTGCGCCAATGATCATATTCTGATAAAAATTTAATGTTGTTTTATTTTCTTCTACTATTTGTTTTGCACCTTTTGTTGCTGCTTTAATTTTTTTGACCTAGAAATATAATGAATATTATTCATTTTTTATGTTGTTATAAAGTAATTTTTTTATATAGTAAGTTGAATCTGTTATGCAATGACATGTTATAGATAATATGGAAATAATTACATATTCGAAATGATTAAGTAATAAAAAAACAAAAAAAATAGTATTTTAAATGATACTCTAAGTAACTCACCGTCATTTTGTTTGTAAATTATATGTACAAGTATTTGATATATCTATATATAAATAATTAATATCTGTTTAATGATCAATATATAACATAGACTTGATATCATAAAAATTCAAAACGTTTAAGGTTTGTTAAAGCCACGTGAAAGATGTCATATGAGAAAAGTCTCTAGGTTAACATTTCATAATTTACAATTCAATATAGATACATAAATTTTATAGTCATCATATTTATTATGTTTCACGACCGTTCGAAATTTGAATTTCAATAAATAATTGTAAACGGGAGTTACTTCAAATTTTTACTAAATAATAAAAAGAATCGAGTGTAGGAATAATATTGTTATGATTATACGTATACATATGTATTAATGGAATTGTCGAAATTCTTTATATCGATATAAAATTAAAAAGAAATATCGATGTACGTGTGATTTTCACAAAAATATTTTTCATTGTTAAATTTATTCTCTTATATATAAGATTTAATTATGCGTTAATTATGTAAATAATGCATTTTGATTTTGACATCATTTATTTAAAATATACATTTACGTTATTGCATATAAATTGGAATAATAAGACATTGTTTCTGAAATAAGAAACGTAATTATTAACGTATATATATTAGGAAAAACAAATTTTTATAATATTTTTATATATTTTCATTCTTTGTAATAACTTTGTAATAGGAGTAACAAAAGGATAAAAGAACTTTTTATATATTTTATTGAATCTTGTTTCATTACATCATTAAGTCTAAAATTGTTTAATTTTATATATTTTAATATTAATTTAAATTTATCAAAAATAGTGATACATAATAACAAACATTGTGACTGCGATATATAATTGCATTAAAATGAATTACTTCAAATTTGAGTACAACTTTCAATTAACTAGTCCTCAATGTGTTAAAAATTGTTTATGTACCATTTTTTCTTAATTTATAATATATTAAATGAAAAATTTGCTGTAGGAAAGTACTTTTTTAATGCACTTAGTCGCTTTATCATTCTATTGAAAATTTACAAATATCAGTATCATTGGTGCTGCTACTCTTTAATTTTCTAGTAAACTAGGTTATGCTATAATACGTGTGTCCACGTAATAACATACCATAATAATTTATATAATCTTTATATAAAAATACGTGATATACCTACGTTAGAAAAAGAATGAAAAAATTAAATGCGTTAGTAATAAAACGAATGGAAATGAATCGAAATAGATCGACCAAAATTTTTGTCCCTGAGTAATTTCGAGTAAGAGAATTATTATTATCGAGATTCTTGGACATTCATTGAAGAAAAAAAAAAAAAAAAATAAAACGAAATAATCAAATTTTTGATAAAATAAAATATTTAAAGAAAATCAAATTTATTATTAACAGAATGCTATTAACGATCAAAAGAAAATAATTCTGGTTTTTATAATCGATAATGATATTCGTTAAATCTAGTAAGTCCTGCAAGTTTTGCTTTGTCATTATCGGAAGGATTCAAGACTATATGACATTTCATGGTAAATATATATTAATCTTCGAAAAACAAAACACTAAAGAGCATAGTAGATGTATTCCTGTCATGACTTCTTTTTCTGTTTATTTTCAACGCACACAATGCTTTACTTTATAATTTACAATTTTTGGGAATGATCTTATATCTATGAATAATCTTTTAATTTCTTTCAAATTTCATGTAAAACTTTTTATGGATAATAACAAAATATGCAATCTTTAGTCTGTTACTTTTTTGTATTTTCTAAATTTTTATGTTATTTCAATCTTTTATTTGTACTGTTATTTACATATTCTTTATTAGTATATTCTTTACATATTTTTTTACTAGTATTTATTTTTTTCAGTCCTTATGTTGTTTAATTATAATGCATTTACATATATAAATATATTTTAGGTTTCCCATGCTGTGAGCTTATAATGTGATATCATTGAGAATTTATTTTTATTCCACAAGATTATGACTATAATCATGTAGAATTTAGTATAAGGAAGATGACGCCTCATTTTGTAGCTCTGACACCCATAAGAAGACGATGTTTAATCATACTTTCAATAGTATTAATACCATGCGCCATTTTAAATCTTTTATCACCATCAGAGTTGCATGAAGAAACAGTCTTACAAAATAGTATTGCAGAATTACAAGCTAAATTGGAACATTTACATGCTAAATATGTTACAAGTCAGGAAGAAATAAACTTATTGTCACATCAATTATTGCAATTAATAGAGAACAATCATATTTTACCAGATCTTCAATTTTTACTTAACAATACTACATCAAATGTAACCAATATAAAATTACCATCTATATATAACTTTCTTCCTCATTTTTTGAATGATCCTAATAGTCTACGTCCAGCATTTGTACAGAGTAAAGGCCGTACTGGAGTTAGTATGGTACTTGGTGTACCGACAGTTAAAAGAGAAGTACAAAGTTATTTAATGGCCACACTTAAGAACTTATTGGACCGTATGAATTCTATGGAGACAGCAGATACTTTAATTGTTGTGTTAATTGCTGAAGTAAGTAATAGCAAATAATTATTTAAAAATTTTCTGCTACAATTATTTTTATCTATATATCATTAATATATACATATATATATATATTTACAGACAGACTTAGAATATGTAACATATGTTGCAAAACAAATTGAAGTTCAGTAAGTTATATCTAATAACAATGTTTGATATTATTCATTTCTTAATATATTTAATTTATTATTTTATATCTCAGGTTTCCAATCGAATTTGAAGCTGGTGTAATTGATGTAATATCTCCATCTGCATCTTATTACCCAGATTTATCTAAATTGCGTGATACTTTAGGTGATGACCATCAAAGAGTAGTTTGGAGATCAAAGCAAAATTTAGATTTTGCATTTCTTATGTCATATGCTCAGACAAAAGGAACATTTTATGTACAATTAGAAGATGACATTTTAGCTAAAAAAAATTTTATAACAACAATGAAATCTTTTGCACTACAAAAGATTGCAACTAAAGAAAATTGGTTTGTTTTGGATTTCTGTCAATTAGGATTTATTGGTATGATATGTTACATTGATATGGTCATTGCTAAAGATAATTCTGAATTTATTTCGTATTCATGATTTTTTTAGGAAAGTTATTTAAATGTGCAGAACTGCCATGGTTGATTCAATTTTTTTTAATGTTTCATAATGATAAACCTGTTGATTGGTTATTAGATCATTTGGTATCAACTAAAGTTTGTAGTCTTGACAAAGACAGCGTAAGTCTTAGATTCAACATTAACTTAGGCAGGAATTTATTTTAAGAATACATATGTAATGTATTTATGTTTATTAATTTTGTGTATATTTTAGAAACATTGTAAAATGGCTAAAGCAGAATTATGGGTTCACTACAAACCTTCCCTCTTCCAACATATAGGAACACATTCATCATTGAAAGGAAAAGTACAGAAATTGAAGGTATTTTAAGAATAAAAAAAAAGAAACAATTACATATATTGTATTTTTATTTTTGTTTCTATATCTTATTATAAATGTTATGTTTAGGATAAACAGTTTGGAAAAATAACGTTATATTATGCACATGAAAATCCAGAGGCAATAGTGGAAACACAAATTAAACCTTACAAACAATATACATTACAGAAGGCCTACAAAGGTGAATCATTTTTTTGGGGTCTTTTGCCACAACCTGGAGACCATTTAAAATTCAAATTTTCCCACCCTATTTTTATAAAAAGGTATTTTAAACATATACAATATTTTAAGCAATAAATAATTATAATGTCATTATTTTCAATTTTTATAATACAGGTACTTATTTAGAAGTGGAAATCCCGAGCATCCATCTGATAGATTTTATAACACTACAGTAGAGGTCTTTACAAAGATGTCTGCAACCATGAATAGAAATACTAATGATGTTACAGAGGATGGATATACTATTATAGGTATTATACGATATATGAATATGTTTGTATAATTAGTAATATATTTATATATGTATATATGTGTATATAATATTATTTATTGTAATTAGGAAAATTTGATGCACTTGGGATTGCTCAAGGCACAGTAGATCCAAAATTAGGAAAAGTATTCGCACTTCGTTTGACAGTACACAGTGAAAGTGAAAATTGGGCCATCTTATCTGAGGTAATATTTATCAGTAAAGAATATCGTTAAACTATATTATAAGTGATATTTAAACAAATTTTCATATTTATTTTTCATTTTTTATATTAACAGATTCATATAGTCGAAGATCATCCTAGTTGACCTTCGGAAAAAATATTTCGAAAATTTTTTCGAGACCATTTACAGGGATAATATGTATAAGAGTTAATTATTAAATTATTTTTAATTTTATTTTTGTGTCATTGATATTTTGTAAATTAAAAATTGTTTTCCGCCGTCCACCATAAAAGATTGCTTATACACTATTTTAGTAGATATAATTTTAATTTACAAAAGAAATTTTGTTTTTAAGAGATCAATTATCATTGTGTGCAATGGAAGGATATAGATATAGGTTCCTAAAAATATTTAATTCATTTTTTAAAATTTGTTTTGGAATAACGTGCGCAATTTTCGACCAATTTTACCAATTCTCTACTTGAAACAGTACCTGCGTAGTTAATATATGTTATTTCATTTGTTAAAGATCAAAACATTACTTATAATTTTATGTATTTTTTGTAAGTCAGCAAGGAAGTTCTTATGACTTGAATCTTTCTCTCGCACAACATTATTGATAAGAATTCCATATACTTAACATCGTGTGAAAAATGTCGTGTTAAAAAATGAGTGCCAGACTATTTTAAGAAATGTTAAGATCGAAGGAGCAAACAAGTGATTTTTCTTTCTGTAAAAAAAAATCGTCGAACACATATATCTTTGTAATATGTGTAATTATGTGCAATTTATATATTTTCTGTAATATATTATTAAAGGAATAATATTAAAGTCTAGATTCAGATACTTGTTATATTTCAAGAAGCGAACGGTGATATGAAGTTTGTATTGTTCTTGTATATGTATTATTTATTTCGTATAGCTTCTTATATACATACATACATATATATATAAATATATACACACACATGTATTTTCATATAAAATAAAATATATTTTTTTGAACATTAAAATGATCTTGTCTTATTACATTGTCTTGTCTTATTTTGAATTATTGTAAATACTGTACACTATTTGCTACTTACACCTACATTATCAAAAATGATTTTATAACAATTTTTTAATATTAATTAATTATACCATATAATAAAAACTGATCTGACTAAAAATTGGTATTAAAAATTACTTTTGAATAAAAGCATTATTTTAAATGCTTTCGAATATATTTACGACCTTAAGGCAACCATTACCCTGAATGGTTTAGGACCAATGGTAACTCCATCGACAAAATCTTGTAATGATGGTTCTTCTCCAGGTACTATAGAAAATGTAAATGCTTGTAATAAAGTAGTAGCTATAACAAATGTATTGTTTCTAGCTAAATTTTCTCCCATACAACGATGTCTCCCTATTATAAAAAAATAAGTGGTAAACACCCGATTAATTAAACAAAAAAAATTGATTATATTTTTTATCTTGAAATATATGTACCGAGACTAAATGGAAAGTACGCAGCCGGTGTAATGATGTTACCACTTTCATCTATAAATCTTTCTGGTCGAAAGTCTTCGGGATCATTCCACGATTCGTCCATTAATATTCTATTGAAGTTCACTATAAGCATCGTATTCTGAAATAATGTGAATTATGTTACTTTCTTAAAAGATTTCATTGTTTATTTTTTATTATATCAAATACTTACTTTTGGTATTTTATGACCTAATATCGTAGTATCTCTTTGCGCTCTATGTGGTATATTTAACGTACGCCCTACGAACATTCTGAATGATTCCAAAACAATAGCGTTCATATAAGTCATTCTAAAACGAAATAAGTATATTATATATATATATATATATTTTTTTTTAATATATATAATATATATATTTTATATATATATATATATATATATATATATATAAAATGATTAATCAAAAGTTAAGAAAAACTTTCTAATAATTTTAAAATCGAATTCTGATCATTTTTTCGAATCACCTCGTTCTGTCATCCAAGGTGGGAAGTCGGTTACGTCCAATTATTGTGTCTATCTCTTCCTGTGCTTTTCTCTGTACTTTCGGAAACAGCACTAAATATAAGAAACAAAAGCTAAGAGCTTTAGATGTAGTTTCCGAACCTGCCATAAATAAATCCATACAAATAGCAAGCAGTTGAGATTCTGAAACAGATTCGGTACAATTACGATCGATTTAAGCTGAATCTTACTTTCAAACTGTAATATTTAATATTTAAGTACCTGAAAATGTGTTACTATAATCTTTAGAGTTCAAAACGGTCAAATATACGTCCATTAAATCTCGCGGCGAGCCTGGCGCAAAGGTAGCTTTATGACTATCCAACTCATCCTACAATTATATTACTTCGTTTCTTCTATAATTGATATTTAGTGTTCACATTGTAATTTGCTTACCTTTAAATAATCCCAAAGTTGCTGATGAATCTTCACGAATGATTTGTAACCGGATATTTCTGGCGCGATGAATCTTAATAGCGGAAAATGACCAAATGGTGCGCCTAACATATCGATTTCCGTTAAAACTTGCGTCAGAATCTCTTGCAGATAAATCGGCTTTTCGTCGTCGATATCGAACCTAAATTAGATATGTCGAATATAAATTTTCATTACTGAAAAGTTACTTGTTCTTTCAATGAGCTCAGAGCGAAATTTCAAGTATCAAACAAGATGATACTTCGAAGTAACAGAGAATGAACAACCTTTTACCAGCTATCATTCTCCACAATGTATTGAGTACTGTAATTCCAAAGGCGTTGTGCATTGGAATTATCGTTCCAGGGTGAGCGTTGATTTGATTGATTTGCACGTATTTATCAGTATCCACGTATAAACCCGAAGATTTCAATTGTTCTTCACTTTTCCCGTACTTGTCCATTAATTCTACCTCATTTGCTTTGTCCCCTTTAATTAATTTATATATTTGTCCGTCGTCGTACTCGTTATTGTTGCAATGTATTTTAGATTCGTTAATTTGATTATTGCGTTCGTTGTTGATTAGTTTTTTTATGTGTTCGACGAGCGATCGGCTTTCTTCTTGTATTATCATCATCATGTCTTGCCGGCCGAAGCCGAAGTCACGAAGATGTCTTAACACGAATTTCCTTTGCTCGATCCATAAATTTCCATCCACGAGGACCAGTCCTTCGATCAGAAAAATGCGAATGATTAAATGAGATCAAACGTTTGATATAAAACTTTAACTTCAAATAATTAGGTAAAACATCGACGTTACTAATCGTGAAGTTACCTTTTCTAGAGCCGAAGGTTCGTGCATCATAAAGGAGACCAACTGGTCTTCCATCGCAATCTTCGTTAGTAAGCATTGTTCGAATGCTGTCATGGTCATTTAGAACCACGATACGGTCTGTGCCGACTTTTAGACCGACTACTGGTCCATATTTCTTACACAAAGCGGAACATGTCCTGAACATGTAACCGGTTTCCTTGCGAAGACGAGCCAATTCGATAGCACAACCCAAAATTGGCCACCACTTTGGACCTAAAACTCTTAGAAATTAAATAAACACCAACCACATTTTTGTTAATATTTACAATACAGTTAATAATTAAAGAAAGTAATAAGGAATAACAAATGAAGAAAAATGTAAATATAAGTAACACCTGGAGGATATCCTTTTGGTTTCCGCGATCCTAGATACAGTAGCAGCAGTAGTAATATTATACATAATACCACCGTGGAGAACATACTGTAAACATAATAAACACTATTATATTTGCCTTATTCTTATTGTAAAATAAGCTTATTTTTTTTAAAGCATTGCATACCGCTGTATTAATTACATAATATTGTTAATAAAATATTTATTTGTTTTTACTTTATCCCGATACATTCTTATAAAAGAAAACTTTTAGAAATGCATTTTTAACAGCTTTGGTACGAGAAAGTGACTGAACGAGATGAAGAATAATTTGACTCTCACCTCTCATCCGGTTTCGATAATTTTGAAACGTTGGCTTGCGTCGCGCTTTTGAGAAAGAAAGTGAAATAAACGGACTTATGGGAGAAAGTTACTCACGGAAAGATCAAACCATGCTCTCACTTTCATTATTTCATAACTTCTTGCGTAATCGATGTACCTATAAACAACAATTACAATTAATGTTTCTACCCTATTTTTCAAACATTTATCTTTGTTGACATTCTCTAACTGTGTTTCTAAATACTCATTTAACATTTACAATACGATCAATAATATTATTGCAATCGATTAAAATTTTTACTTTCTTTTCATTTCTGTTAAAAAAAGTCATGTTCATCTTTATTTTTTGAATATTTCATGAAACATATGACAATTTGTTCTAAAATTTCTTATATAACTGTCTGATCTGATCAGCAAGTTTTTTTTAACAAACAATAAATAATTTTTTTTTTGTGAATGAATTGTGAAAATATATGAATAATAAATTATTTTATAATTTTAATAATAAATAATAAATTATTTTATAATTTTTAAAATATATTTTAAAGAATCGTGAAAATATAAAAAATGATAAAATAATAATAAAATTTTCAATTAGAATTTTTGGCGTCAAAATAATACTTTTCTTAATAACTTCATTTTAATTATTGAACCTACCTTACCTTACATCTGGAGATATTTACTCTTCTGTTGTGTAAGTAAAACTGGCGTGGTCCAGTCTGCAAACGGCTTTTAAATACCCCTCTTCGTTTCCACCCTTCATTTCTCGGACAACTGTTGAATAACAGTGGTAAGATGTGACAATCCAGATAAAGTTCATCACAATTATTATATTATATATATCATGCATATTGCAGAAATTAATATTTAAAATAAAGTATTTTACAAAGGACAAAAAGGATATCAAATGAAAAGATTTAAACAAATACAATCGAATATTTTTTATTGCATTTATTTTTTATTTTTACATATAACAAAATAAACGTAAAATTTTAATTCGTAATACACATACATAACACAAGTAAAAGCATGCGAAAAAATCTTGAATTTAAAATTTATTAAAATTGACATTCTCTGTTTTTCCTGTGAGCCTTTCATTTAAATTTTTCCTCTTCGTCTATTTCTTCCTTAATCTTTATTTCTTCCTGTTCCATTGCTTCATTTTCTTCTTTAATTTCCTCAATTTCAAAAGGTAGACGATCACCTAATTCGCTATTCCTTGCACAACGATATGTGTTTCTACAAATGCAGAATGTTGCATTAATGTCACTGAAACTTTTTTTTATAATATATTTTTTAAAACTTAGAAGATACAAACTTTCCATTTTTCCATGTGGTAAAAATTTGTTCCTCTAATTTTCCGGAAGATGTACACATACGGCATATACAATGTTTAGAACGTTTCAATACTTCTCTAACAATTCGCGGCCACTTTAAATCATCTTCAGGGCGTTTACCTAAAATTATGTATTTTTAAAAAATAACTAACAAAGAATTTGTTTTTTTTTTCAAATTACTTTCATTATATATATATATATATATAATCAGCGTTATTATGTAATATCTTACCTTTTTTGAGTACTATGTACGAATAATTCTCTCGTTTATATTTAGATTTTTCACTAATATGTAATGTCAAATAAGCAATTTCAAAATTACAAGGATGATCATTTTTTATATGTATAGGACATGTTTCATCGTGAGGACACTAAAATCATAAATATATTAATATATTATAATAAATTAATGTTTGCTATATAATAATATAATGGTTATATTGATACTTACAGGTGAAAATACATGTGCATTGCGTGCTTTTTTAGAATGAAGTATGAAATCTCGAGCTTCATTAATCACCTATTTAAAACAAAATTATTAGTTAAATATATTTAAAATTAAATAACTTTCAACTATATATACAGTTAGCTTACTTTAAATCCAGCATTTGTTCCTTGTTCTATAATAATTAAATACTGTTCTGTTTTTTGCCATAATTTTAAAATTGTTTGAAGACGAGAAATTTGATTTGGTAATTCCAGTAAAGAATATGCACTCACCACAATATCATAAGTTGGCTACAATATATTATAACATGTTTAATCTCTATTTTAAACATTTTAACATAATATAAGTTATGCGTAATATCTCCCTTACAATTGGAGATGCAGGAAAAAATTGTCTATAGAAAATGTACTTTTGTTTAATTTTTGGTACAGCTCTTTTTATGAGGTATTCAGACAATTCATTCATATCTTTAGAAATATCAACGCAATAATATTCCTTGATAGTATCCACCCAGAATTGTGAGGCTGCCCTAGCAAAATTAGATTTATTACAGACCTTTTACATTATTTTTAAAAAGAGACAAATAATTCTTATGTATATCTTACCACATAACTGTTCCAGTACCCGAACCAAAATCAAATAATGTTTGTGGTGTGAAGTTTTTATCACGATTAACAATTTCATTAAAAATTTTATATAAAGCAGAATATTCAGGCATGCTTCTATTTGTTAAATATGCTAGACTTGTGTATGTATCATATTGAATTGGTGCCCAATTATATACCAAACATTTGAGAAGTCTTTGAGCATTTGGATTTTCAAATATCAAATTATTATTTAAATTTGGCATTTCATTTCCATACAATTTTTTCTTAACTTCTTCCATTTTTAAACGAATATCTTCTTTTTCTGCTGGAGGATATCGATTATGTAAGTAATTTCCTAGTCTTCGACTGCAATTGTATATGACTTTTGGTGAAATATTTTTCTCTGTAAAGATATAAAAATATTTGTTATTTGAAATATATAAAATCTTATGTTATGATAATATAAAACATACTTCTCATTACCATGTAAAACATTTAGAACTGTGTTTTGAAGCCAACTAGGTTGATCTACAAGCCTAGGTTTCATTATACCTGGATGTTCCTTATGTTTAAGATTTTTATTTGAAAGTAATTCATTAACATCATTTATAACTTTCATCTTTTCTTTTGTTGAGTACTAATAAAAATAAAAATAATAAATTTATGCTTTTATATTAAATTAATTGTTAATCAATATTATTCTCATAAGAAGTTGAACTTTACCAACTTTACCACTTTGGAGAACCAAAAATTATTCACTTTCTTTAAAATCATAATCTAGTAGATTTCGATGAGATCAAAAATGTAAGACAAGGAATTCATTAGTTCAAAAACTATAATTATATAAAAGTAATCATTTTAAAAATTGTATTTCATAAAAAAAAAAATAAGCTCGACCTTCAATCCTTTACTTACAGCATCCATTCAAAAAATTCCGATATACCCTCTAGAAATCATTCAAATTTTGCCTGAAACATTTTTCTATATAACCAACAGTTTTGAAAATATTTCAATTTTCAGTCTTAGGTGATTCATCTAAATTTTTATCCAAACATTATTTTTAAAACATGACTTCCTTAAAACTTATATTTTTGGTCTCGGCTCGTCAAAAAGAAGGTAAATAATTTTTGATCCCTTGAAGCTTAATCAGAATAGCATTAATACAATTAATATAACTCTTATTTACCAATCGCATTTGTCTATATCTAGAAAAAGTAAGTTTCACCGTTGACATAGCAAATAATCTTATTTAAGCTTTGTAGCGATAATATTAAACTTTTAAAAGTTTCTGTTAACAACAAAGAGAGGTTAGACAAAACTACGCGTGTACGGGTTATAGTCTAACCCCTGATGTCACGTCGATAATTCGCGAAGAAAACGCAAGATGGCGCGGCAATTGTATCAAATGCTCGTGATTGGCTAATCAAGCGCGCAATATGGCGAACGTGCAATGCTGTTACAATGCGACCGCCATGGCTCCATTTAATGCTGCATTTTCGCAGTGCGCGCCGTGCAATATCGGCCTGAAGTTTTACAAGCACTGTAAGCACAGCTAACCTACAAATAAGCTGTCACTGGTTAAACAGTGTTGCTCGTAATACACTCTAGTGTAGAGATTATCACTCCGATGCCCGCTTCGAGTTCCCCTACCCAAGCATTTGTGCCGCCATCAGCCTCGCTGTGACGAGTGTTGAAACCAATGAATGTGTGATGAATATGAATAGTACGAGTCTGGTTGGCGGTTAGCAACACGGAGACGAACTCGCAAATTTTATTCTCGTCCAAATTTTCCTTTTGACGCGATTCTTCTTTTCTCCCGCATATTTTATCTGGGATGTGACACTGTTAATGAAGGAATTATACGTAAAAATATTTATAACATGAAGACATGCAAGTTTTAACGAAAATAATCAAAACTATATGATAAACATTCAAAATTCGGCGGAACATACAAAATATAAAAGTAATATTGCAGTATGATGCAGTATACGTTTCATAATCTTAAAGAAATTCTACATTAAGGTACCTATAAGGTGTATTTTGTATGTTTGTTCTTAATGTACATCTAATCTTCATCCGTTCCTTATTAATCCGCTCTTTTACTGTTAAATTTTACAAAATGAATAAAAAACTAACCTATGATGAAAAGATAAATAATTGTATTCTTTTATTAACAATAAATGAATCAAATTTCTATTTAATTGCGTATAAGATTCACACAATTTCCACTCTCACGTATAGGTGTTTAATTTTATATCTCTGATTTCATCTCCTTTATTCATCAAATAGTACTAGACTATAAAAAAAAGTGGTGCCCCAAAGCAGAGTTCAACTTTGTCTAATGTTATGATCATTTGTTTTGGATTTTCACTTGTTAGAACTACATTCAAAGCTATATGCCTATAAACATCTTCAAGAAAGTGTCACTCTAAATGTATAATTGTAGTATAATAATTACAAGATAATGTACTGCCTATCAAGTACATTGAAAACGAATATTATTTACAATTTTGGTAGCCTGTTCTGTCATCAAAAATGTCAAAAATATATGTTATGTGTTAGAAAAGTAGGTGTTACAAAACCTCACTTCTGTACCTGTACTTGCTACAAAATAATATAACATTTTCTAAATGTATCAATTTGGCACAAGGGACGGATGAGGGCTAATCGAAATAGTATTTGTGCAATTGATTGCAAATTCTGCAATTAATATCGAGTTAATTAATTCATAGAAAAATGAAATTCACAGAGCATTTAAGTGCTCACATTACACCAGAATGGAGAAAACAATATATAAATTACGAGGTAAGAGAAGTAAAAATGGATCATTGATTTAATAATTTAATAATTATATTAAATGTTTCAAAAAATTCATATTAAAATAAAATCATTTTATAGGAAATGAAAGCATTGCTCTATGCTGCAGTAGAACAAGCACCAGCTGCAGATATAACAGAATCACATATATTGGAACGTTATTTTAATAAATTTGATGAACAATTTTTTCATTATTGTGATAAGGAATTGGCAAAGATAAATACATTTTATTCAGGTAAATTTTATATGTTTACTGTAACTGCTTAACTTACTTACGATTTACGTTAATGAATGAAATAATCTGTTTTACTTTGTTAGAAAAATTGGCAGAAGCAACACGTAGGTTTGCAACCCTCAACAATGAGCTAAGTGAAATTTTATCAGTTTCTGAAGAAGGACAAGGAAGCCGTAAAATCCGTTACCGTAACAATATTTTGCATAAAAAACCAGTTTCAGCAAGAAAACTTCAAGAATTGAAATTAGCTTTCTCTGAATTTTATCTCTTTCTTATTTTACTTCAAAATTATCAGAATCTTAACTTTACTGGATTTAGAAAAATTTTGAAAAAGCACGATAAAGTAAGTAAAAACAATTAATTTATGTAAGAATTTGCATTTATAATAATTAATAAAAAATTGTTATCTTAGCTTTTGAACATAGATCTTGGAGCAAAATGGAGAGCAGAACATGTGGATACTGCATTATTTCACACGCACAAAGACATAGACAGACTTATTGCAGAAACAGAAGCATTAGTTACAAGAGATTTAGAACACGGAGACAGACAACGTGCTATGAAACGTTTAAGAGTTCCTCCACTTGGAGAACAGCTTTCTCCATGGATTACATTTAAAGTGGGACTTTTCTCTGGGGCTTTCATTGTTCTCCTTATAGCTGTAATACTTTCAGGTAGCCAGACGCATGCCATGCAATATATATGTAAAAAAATTTTAATATAAAATTTTAATTAATTTTGTTTTATTTTATAGGTGCACGTTATAGAGACAACAATAATTGGCGAGTTTTGTGTAGATTATATCGTGGACCACTTCTTATGATTCAGTTCCTTTTTCTTATGGGAATTAATGTATATGGATGGAGATCTTCTGGTGTAAATCATGTTTTAATATTTGAACTGGATCCCCGAAATCATTTATCAGAACAGGTTGTATATTATTTATTAAGTTGTATATATTTATTATATACATGTGTTATGTATGTTATTTATGTATAATACATTTTTAGCATATTGTTGAAATGGCTAGCGTATTTGGATTGGTTTGGTCTCTATCAATTTTGGGTTTTTTGTATAGTGAAACATTAGGAATACCACCATTTGTTCAGCCTGTAAGTCTCTATAATGTATAGAATTTTTAAAAAAATTACATAAATATTATTTTTTTCAGATGTTGTTGTACACATTATTAGCTTTATTTTTGTTTAATCCAACAAAAACATTACGTTATGAAGCTAGATTTTGGGCACTTCGTGTCTTAGGTAGAATATTTTGTGCACCGTTTTTCTATGTCGGATTTGCTGACTTCTGGCTTGCTGATCAACTTAATTCTTTACATACTGTTTTCTTAGATTTTCAATATTTTGTTTGCTTTTATGTACAAAATTCTTCGTGGACCGATGTCACTGGTTTGTAATTTAGATATTGTGAACTGTAATTTTACAGTTCAATAGCAGTTAGTAACTATCTAATTGATGCATTTTTTGGTAGATGCAGAAACTTGTATAATGCGCGAGTTGTCAATGAGACCGTTTGTAGCTTGTTTGCCGGCATGGTTTCGATTTGCACAATGTCTACGGCGGTACAGAGACACAAAAGAAGCCTTTCCTCACCTTGTAAATGCAGCGAAATATGCTACCAGTTTCTTCGTTGTAGTATTTTCATATTTACATTTAACTAATGCTAGTAAGTGTCTAGGAATAATGAATATAACAAAGGAATTGTAACACAACATTCTTTTACAGAATATTACGTAATGTCTACTGAAAATCCTTATTTTTATTTATGGATAATCGCAAGTATCATGAGTTCTTGTTTCACGTATACGTGGGATGTAAAATTGGATTGGGGATTATTCGATAGTAATGCAGGAGAAAATAAATTTCTTAGGGAAGAAATTGTGTATTCCTCTCCGGTAAGTTTGATTGTAGAGTGAGATAATAATCTCATGTAAGATATTTATGTCATGTTGCAGTACTATTACTATTTTGCAATAATCGAAGATTTTATACTCCGTTTTGGTTGGGCATTTTCATTGTCTCTCACTGAAATGGGATACGTACATGCAGATTTAATGGTTTCTATAGTTGCACCATTGGAAGTGTTCAGGTAAGTTAGAAGTAAGTTGATATCGCTAGTGATAGTGATACATTTTTAGAAATGGTGACTTTTGCTGTATTTACACATCCAATACGTATGAACTTCATACTATGAAATGTCTCATAGTATGAACTGCACATCATTATGTAATCTCATATTTAGTGAAGCTTGACGACATTTTTCGCTTGCATGAAAATTAAAATCATTTTATATTCCAGTCACGCAACGTTACGCTAAAAAAGAAAATAATGTGTTTACTAAATAATTAATCTAATAAATAATAATAAATTGCAAAAGATTTTTATTTGTTCTTAATCTTTATCCCTCTTTTATTTATTCCATCGTGTGTTTCATTAATTGATTTTTTCTTTCTTCTGTTTCTCAATTTTTAAATAATTTTTATATCATCAGTAATTTCATATACGTTTTTATTTATCATAAAAAGTATTTTGTATCAATTCGTCTTACTAATCAGTTGATAGAAGGTACATGTGGAATTATTTTCGTCTGGAAAACGAACACCTATACAATGTAGGCAAATTTCGAGCTGTTCGAGATATCTCCATAGGGCCTTACAAAGGCAACAAATACGATGAACCAAAGGCGGCTATACACCTTATGGATTGTACGAACGACAACGATGATGAGAGGACGACATACTCTGATCGTTGAAATTATCATCTTGTAATTGCATTTTTTATCTTCATATATTTTAGTTTATAAACACGATCATTCTCACGCAGATAATCACTCCATTCAATAATAAAACGAATTCCTATTTTCTTATTTGTATATTGCACATTAATTTGCATGTTCAGCATGTTCAAATCAATCAATAGTTTAATTTATGCTTTTAAGCTAATATTTATTTGTCATTTTATTACGCTGGGAATTGTCATGTATAAAGCCTTTTGCTCAATTTTGATTTCAAAATAATTGCTATTCCTTTCCAATAGGAGATTTATATGGAATTTTTTCCGTTTGGAAAACGAACATCTGAACAATTGCGGCAAATTCAGAGCTGTCAGAGATATATCTGTGGCACCAGTTGATTGCTCTGATCAAACGCAAATTTTGAGAATGATGGACGCAGCAGACGGTGTGATCAATCGAAAGAGAAAGCAAAAAGTAATGGACAAAAAACTATCACGTACATTTTCTAAAGGTGAATCCCTAATTTGTGATCTTGACACGTAAATGTACTTGAGCATGATGACAAATGATTTGCAACAATTGGATGTTAATCGATCTCTGTGTGTAAATATTGAGAATACTGGTTTTACTAGTGTTGTTTAAGTACAAATATACGTTAGTATGTACGTCAGAATGATTCTGAGTTAGATTAAATGTGGACTTAAATGTATAAATCTCGTGAATGTGTTATAAAATTATCGTGCAATATTTACATTTATGCTTGTATTACCCTTGCTATTAAACGCCGCATTCTCGAGAAAATTTTGGGACGTTTGTCGCGATAAGTTTAAAATTAAAGTGCAATGGAAAATACATCATACACATAAATACGAATTTAAAATGCAGTGATAAATACGTCGTACAAATAAACACGAATGTAATTAAAATAAAGTATTTTGACATTTCTAATAAATTATTAGAATCTCTCCCCCCGTCTCTTTATCTTCCAGCATATTATACGTTTAACAAATAATCTTTCGTTTCGTTTATTTTAATAGAAAATAATAATATTATTTTCTCTTGAGTTAACTCGAGCTTAATCCAGAATGCTTTGAACACCTCGACAGCTGTAGAAAATAAAGCGCTAATGGCAAATTAGTATCGCGTGTAGTCTATGTTAGATACAGACATACTGTTAATACTCGTTGAACAGTCATGATTAACAGTACTGCACCAATGGTGCAGCAGTGATCAGAATTTATATAAAGCATTGTCATCGAACTTTCTTTTTATAGTGCGAGAGATATCAATTGTGTAATTAAAGAAAATATTATCGAGACACAGGAAAAGAAACAAATTTCGAAAGGATCAAGAAGATATATTTAGAAGATTACAGTTCATTCTTGGTAGTTTTTCTTTTGTTTCGGCAAGTACTTGTACATTTCTATCCCTGTAAATTTCAAAGTATTAATATTATATTGCCTTTCTCGAGCTGTCTTTTTCGCGTGCGTTCGAACGTAAGCGGATCAAGGTATTAAGTGATTTTGCTTCTGTCATAGAAGAAGTAGATAAAAATACTTTGAAAGCTAGCCGATCTCTTGTTTCTGAAAACAACATAAAACCTCCCATCAAGATACATTTGTGACTGTCGAGAAAGCTATTCGTCGTGATTGCAATTTTTCTAAAACGTTACGACACATCATAGGAATTTCCAAGAGCCGCCGCTACATATTCCGTGGTACATGTACATAGTTTCCACGTTTCTAAATGTCATTTCCAGACATACGGACAGCATTTATAGTTAGAACTTGGAGGGCAAAGTGGACGGAGGCAGGGCAACATCGAACACGGAAACGAGCCTGCAGCAGGGCAAGCATCGTGTTGGTTTCGTCGGTGGCGGTGTCGCGGTGGAAAGGGTAATGGTGGTATTGATTGCAACGGAACTTGACCGCGCAAACTCTCTGTCTGCCCTCAATGAAATGACGTGCTTACATATGGAACGACGACGGACGGGACGACGATAAAAACCTGTGGATACCACACCTGGCCGACACCTGCCAGTTGAAACGGTGATGATGACATCGACCCTCTGCACCTGTACATGGCTGCTGCTACCCTGCTGCGTTCTCATCACCCTCTCCACTGGTGAACTCAATTTTTATCGAGGTGAGCATACCCCCGTTCCGAGCGTTCGCCCGAAAACACTTCTCTTCCCCGAGGGTAATGACACTGCCGTGTATCATTGTTCCCGACTCAAGGTTTACGATCCTCCGCTTCTTTTCATTTCGTTTCTGCTACTCTCTTTCTCCCTCTCTCTCTCTCTCTCTCCCTCTCTTACGCAGGTTCGTTGAATTCACGCAATGACGTTCAAACCTGGTTCGAAGGATCAAAGCACCTCAAAGCTAAGATGTCACGGTGTCAATCGATCGTGTCACGTTTACTTCCAATTTTCTGCCAGATTCGTTTTCATCAATTTCTCACCCCCCGCCCCCTTTTGTTTTCCCTCGCGCTCGAGCGCAAATGTTGGATTTCAAGTATTATAAGTAGTTAGCAAAGGATGTTTGGATTCGTTCGAGGCTTGCATATGCTTTCGCGTGCGAACGACTCGAAAGGGAAAACGTTCCTCGTTTCTCGTTAATTTCAAGTTAGTTTTCCCTTCGGGAACGTGGTGGTTTTGTCATGAATAATTTCACACGCAGTTCATCTTCGAGCAAACGATTTAGAAACGAGTAATTTAATTAAGTGATGTATACATGTCACTGCAGCAAAGACAATTTGTCTTGTGCGTGACTGTACCGTTTCGTGCATTATAGTTTCCACTGGAATAGCAACGAGATAAATATATTTATCAGAATTGCATTGACGCATACTTAACTATGCGTTAACCGCAAGGACTTCCTGTACAAGTTCTATCACATTGTTAGAAGCTTAAGAAACCGACAGCATGTGAGCGTTATAATATATAATTCATTTTGCTCGAGCTGTTTGCATTTCAGTTTCCTCGAATAAGTTGCGGGAATAAAAGACGGAACAAGTTGAAGACGCAACAAGTTGCACAGTAGGATAATTGATTTCGAGAAAAGAAAAAAAAAGAAAAAAAAAAAAAAAATGGTGGAACAGGCGCAATAATCGCGATCATTTTTTCAGATGAACTCGCTCTCAGGCAATTGATGAAGTACCTCGAGGGGCAGAGGTCCCATTTTCTCTCGCTGTTGGCGAACCAAGCTCGTAAAAAGCATCGCCTGGACCTGGATCGCCAAAAGGAGAGGGATCTTCTCGAGGCTCTGATCAGCAAAGGCAGCTTGGCCGAGACCCTGAAGAAAGGGAAACCGAAAGGATGGAATTATCGGCAGACCCGGTACAACGAGCCGATCAACGAATCACCGCGCGAGAGGCAGCGTTATTTTTGGGAGTATTCGAGCTTTAAGTTGCCTTACTTCACCCGCGAGATGAACGAGGATGATGGGACGAACTTCCAGGACGATGGGGACTACGGGTACGATCAGAATCTACCATTGAAACACTTGTCTTACGACGAGGTCAACTTCGACAGAGGAATGAAGGAGGAAGAGCCGCTGGAATTTCGCGGAAGTTACGGCGGATTGATGAACGAGGACGACAAAAGCGACGTGCAGACGCAAAAGCTGCAAACGACCACTCCGTATTTTAGATTCGACTCGAATTTGTACGAGAGACGTCCGTTCGCGGTGAAGCCCAATGATCCCAGATATTATCAGGACGGCCCTTTTTTCGTAGGTACGTCAAGCTTAATACGTTTCACTTAATTTAATTTACTTCGACATTATTCCCGTATTTCTCGCCACCGATAGATGACGAAGGCAACTCGGATTTGGAGGAATCGACGATAAATAGTACAAAGCGGGAGGAAGAGGATACAATGATAGGGAAAGTGCACGTGGCGCAAGAGGAAAATCCGAGGGACATGGACTCGAAGTTCAAGGACACTTCGGTGATTCTGATACCAGAATTGGAACGACGCACGGAGTACAATCCAATGTTTGTGCCTGTGAACCAGGATTTGAATAACGATATATACTTCATTGGTATGCTAATCACTCGTGAAAATAAAATTAAACGACGAATTATCGACAATATGATGTATTCTTTCTTTTCTTTTAGCTGTCGTTGCTGGTTGCAGCGCCGCAGCAATGTTCGCCCTCGTGTTGATCGCTTTGACATGGTGCAGGTAATGCAACAAATGACGCATCACGTTGACAAGTGACAAGGCAATCGATGTTTAAATACTTTTTTTTTCAATTTTCGATAGGTTAAAGCGAGGCGCCAAAGCGGCTGCTGACATAGAGTATCCAGCTTACGGTGTGACTGGTCCAAATAAAGAGGTATCACCTTCGGGAGACCAAAGACTCGCGCAGTCTGCTCAAATGTATCATTTCCAACACCAGAAACAACAAATTATCGCCATGGAAAAGTAAGTTGATTAAATAATTACGTTCGAAAACAGCGAGCCTTTTTCTTTTCCGTCTATTTGGATCTTTGAGAGAAAATAGGTATAGGAGATCCTTAGTGAAAATTTCTGTCAAGCTGGTTTGAAAGTGTCAAACTGGTTTTTAAAACGTTTCACTCCAACCAGAGAGTATTGCGTGGATAATGATTTGTGTAGTCGTGTTTCTGCAACCAGAGATCCAGGCTCTGTATCTGAAGCAGAAAGCGAGGAAGAAAACGAGGAAGGGGACTACACCGTTTATGAATGTCCAGGATTAGCTGCTGTAAGTTAAAGTTCTATTTGGCTTGATAAAAAGAATTGATATTCGTATTTGCCGTTTACATCGTCTTTTTTTTTTTTTTTTTGTTAAGACTGGTGAAATGGAGGTGAAGAACCCGTTGTTTCATGATGATCCAACACCGGCAACACCAGCACAAACTAACAAAGAAGAGGACCATATATAGTTTGAGTAAATTCTAAAATATATTTGATTTGAATACCTATTCTGGTGCTTAGCTCACTGTTAATGTACCATATCGGAAACATTTATCTATATATCGAAATGTACACGACTTTAATATTTATATGACGCGGGAAGTCAAGATAGAAAGTTAACTAAAGAGAGGTCTGGTTACGAGACCATTTTTTGCGTTTTGTGCAAGGGTTTACCACATGAAACGATGAACATTCCACGTCGTTAAAAACTATCGTGTTTGTTTGAAAACACATATTTTTTAACTCCATGATGTACTATAGTTTGTACTTTCATAGCAAGTACGGTTAGCCATATGATTGACATTATTTTTCTACTCACCGTTACACTTGCAACATAGAGTACAGATTGGAGGTCATATTATAACTATAACATCTAATATCACTTTATACCTGATTCTAATTTTTAAATATAGAAATAACGTTTGTTGCATGTTCTCAGCAAATTTTCCTTTCTCTGTATTAATCGAAGAAACTCATTGGTTTCACTATGATTTTTAAAGTGCCGACAACACTTTAGATCGGAGCTTTGGTTTAGCTTGCAAAATTATCATGCTGTGCTTACTAATTTACAGCTTACAGCTGTAACTTTATGAATTCATATTATAAAAATATACATGTATGTACAACTACATTAAGTTTGATATTTTCTTAAGAAAAGGGAATATTTCAAATCAAGGTGATTGGAAGAATTTGACATGCTATAGCAAATGAAAGAAAGTTTATTTTTCATATAATCCACGACTTGATGTGTACAAATAACACCATAAAACTGTAATTTGTGTTAACATGGAACCAGATCTGTTTAGCAGATCTTGCGTGCGCGTATCAAATGACAAAGATGATAAAATCCACTTCCGTTTTGCATGTGTTGTTGCTTTCGATTACATTACTGCTGTGATTTATATTATCTAAATGAAAATTCTGTATATATATATTATATATTTGTTACAGAGAAAACTGTTCCTTTAATATTGGCTATTATGCAGTGCGACATATATACATATATAGTATATATAATTTATTGGCTTGAAACAATGATAATACGTATTTTATTTTTCTATGATACCTATGATACCTGTTGATCTTGAGACAGTTTTAAGACAAAAGAGCCTATTATTGTACCCAACGTGAGATATAAAAAAAAAAGAAGAAAAAAAGAATGACTATTTATTTTGGCAAATTTTAAGCACTACATGTAATTAGCGTCAACTATTTACTCTCAGAGTTACTATTTACATTCCCCCCCCCCCCTCCCCTTGAATATCTATGGAATACTATGTATAATAACAATATATTATGACAAAAGACGAAACATCTCCTAAAGACTCGTCTGTTTAACAATCGGTCGTAGATCGAAAATTGAGACACAACAGCATGAATTTATTGTTAGCCTTTCAATGCCTTTACAGCACTGCATCGTCGACTATATAAATTCGTTAAATTTTATAGAAAGGACACTATGAAAGGACAATCTGTGTACAAATAGACTATTGTATAGTGATTTGTAGCATGATTGTATGTGTTGTGAGCTGTAGCGTAGGTGCAATGAAAACATTGCGATTTCATGTTCGCGATACGTTTCGTACATATATATATATATATACATATATATATATATCGTTATCATTATTATTTTTGTTCTTCCATTAATTAAAAAGATGGTGTAAAATACAAATAATAAATGATGTATTATTATTTTACTAAATAAATTGTTTATTTTATAAAGAATTATAATCGATTCTTCTTTTCTACGCAGCAATCTTTTCACGATGAAGGCAAACACACGAATTGAATTGAATTTCGTGCATTTTGCCACGTTGTGAGAAGTAACGGACTGCTTGATTAAAGATTAAAGTAGAATAGTAAATAAATTTTTATTCAAACAATAATTAAAACTTTACAAAAATACGTACGTTTATTGCTATTGATATGTCTATTTACAAGTATCATGTGTCATGACCATAAAATATGGCATGGATATTTACACGTACATTGTTACGCTTTATATCGGAATTTGAAATTCTGCGATAATAAATATATTTTATTGACGACGTAAGCATTCTGTTAATTGCACTTGATAAGACATTGTTATCTTCCAGGTCATATAATGTTTCATTTTATTCGAGTTTACGAATACAAGAATCATAATCGCCTATCATTTGGCACTTAAAAGTATTAGAACTTTTTATTTCACGTGAAATTTATATCATAGATGAATTTCAACTTTAGAGAATGTTTTCCATTTTCGAAGCAAGATAGAAATCAATATTAAAAATTGTTCACTTTGTTCAGAATGATTAAAAAATAAAAGAATGTTTAAGGTATTAAAATGCCGTACTCAAATACATACGTTACGTATATATTTCGGACGCAGCAGTCATAAACTATATACAGTCACTTCTCATCGTCGTGATAAGATGTGTTAACTGTTCCGAATTTTTCGCTCATGTCAATGATCTCTTCATCTTCAGGATTGTCTACGTATTTATAAAATTTCGCTATTATAGAGAATATAATTATATCGACGAACATCAGTACCGCAAACAAAACGAATTCAAAAATCTAAACAACAGAAATAAACAAATGTTTCATATTAGAAAATAGTTCAATAGGTGTGAGTAGGTTGAGTAATGTAACTTCTCGAAAAGTTTGACGTTGTGAATAATGCATGACTCGTAGCGACGTGAAAGCAAATGATCAACCACAATCGTTACCGGTTAAGCACTCGAATCATTTCAAGAAGTCGCGAGTGTACGATTGTTTTTTTTTTTTTTTTTCAAAAGCATGCAAGAGAGATGTTTGATTAGGCGTTTAAAAATAAAATTGTTTCTTACCTGACGATCAAAAATCGAGATTTCCGCCACAATGACCACAATGAGATTACCAATGGCTGTTGTTAACAGCCAACAAGCTTGTAAAAGAGATTTCATACTGATAGGTGCTTGCGTGAATGCAAATTCTAGGCCAGTCACCGAGAACATGACTTCACCCATTGTGATAATAACATATTGAGGAATCAACCATAACATGTGCATCGTGTTTGGTTCGGTTACAGTTATAAGGTCAACCTTCGATCCTTTTTCAGTAACAGATCCGACAACGGTATAAACTCCACCAAGTTTGAGAGGTACCTCTTTTTTTACAAACTCATTCAAACGTATGTCGTACACCCCATGTGCGACTTCAATTAGTTCAGTTTCGTGGAAAAGAGAACTATTTATCTTTAATGTCTTGACGACGGCATCTTTCTGTATTAATTCTAGATCAACATCGGGTTGCGACGGTTCGACATAAATAAGTCCACGTATTAGAGGATTGCCATTCGACGATTTGTCTATCGAATCATTATAAACGTGAGATAAACCGTTCTGCGTTATAGCCCAAGAAGTCGCCTGTTTTTCTAACACGAGCATCTCCCCTAAAAACATACAATAACTGTTACACAACCGTCAATTACAGGAAAGAAAGAATTTTGAAATCTGTTAAATTTTCTTCACTATCTTCTTCTTGACACACCTCGAGTTTTATTCAGTGCTGTGATACCGGCTTGATCGCAAACAGAAAAGTCCGCTTCGTAACTCAATTTTCTTTCGCCTTTCGCTTCGATATACCTGTCTTCCCACATATCCATACTTTTAAGAGCTATAGATAATTCAGGATCGTGCACTGTCACTCTCACGTTACAATCCAGAGTATTGAAAACACGCAGCTGCGCGAGATCTTTCGACGGCAGAATCGGATACGTTTTCTGGAAAATGACGAGAAAATACTCAACGTGAAAAAAAGAGGGGCATCATGTTCATTGTCAATTTAATCACGTATGTACCTCGAGATCCAATTCAACCACCGCCGCTGCGACAAATGACAAAGAAGCTAAGAAACCGCCGACAGAAAGTATTCTTAGCGGTGTTCGTAACCCAATCTTTCCCATAAGCGGATAAAGCCAACTTTCGAACAGGGGTATGAAAATGAGGACCAAAAGAGGATTGAACACTTGCATCTGATCTGGTTCAATCAAGAAATTGCCGATTTCTCCGTTCATCCTGGTTGCTTGGAACGTCCATCGAGAGCCTTGTTGATCGAATAGCGCCCAAAATATCGGTATCGGTATGAATAATACCATCACCTGCAGGGCCGATTTAATGTCGTTTATCAGTAATCTGTCGTACTTGTCATCCGCATAGTCGAGCCAATACTTCCTCTTCTCGCCCTTCGACGTGACTTTTCTGTAGATGGCGTGCTGAAAATTTCGAAACATTACCGGCTGGCTATTTGTCCTCGCAGCGCGGTAAAATAAAAAAAACATTAAATAAAGCAAATGGTTAAAAACTTACGGAAATGCACCTAGAAACATTCAAAACGACATTACCTGTCGGTTTGACTATTTTGTACAATGGCTTCCCAAGGACGAATATCACTGAAGGGAAAGATCAGAAAACGGCACTGTTATTGTAGGAACAGTTTCAAAGTTTCGACTGTGAAACTTACCGATAGACAGTGTCATAAGGATAGCTGGTACCAAAAATGCCAGAGAGTAACAGGTACTGTCGCCGAAGCATGAAACACTGCTACGAAGCACGGGTGTGAGGAAGGTGGAGATCAAGGATCCGGAGTTGATGGAAAAGTAAAATAGGGAGAAGAATGTGGACAAGTATCGTTCCTGTTGCGGCAGTATGAATTGGTCACCACCGAATGCGGCCACGCAAGGTTTTATACCACCTGTGCCAATGGCTATAAGGACTAGACCGAATAGTGAAAATTCTCTGCAAAACGACACGTTTGACAATCACAATTACGACGATGATCGATGCTTTAGTTCCAGATTTCTAATTGATATTTACTTTATTATTCTTCATATTTGTGACTAAGAAGACAAGGACAGCATGATTGAAAAAAAAAAAAAAGATAAAATGAAATATTAATCGTACCTATCAGGTATTCCCAATGGGGGCACCGCGCTTAAAGATAACAAAAGTTGTCCTGCAGCATAAATAATGCTTAGGTAGAAGATAGTGTGGAATTTTCCCAATAAAGAATCGGCTAACATCGCCCCAAATATAGGGAAGAAGTACAGCAACATCGTGAACACATGATATATGACAGTAGACGTATCATCAGTGTACTTTAGTTGGTTTTTTAGATAAAGCGTCAGTACAGCTAAAATAAATATTTAATTATTACGCGATTATTACTTCCCGAAATAACGACGATTGTGTAAATGCTTCTTTAATTAAAATAAAACTGGCACACGAAATTAAATTCCAAGAACTTTATCATTTTGGAATTTTTTTACTCGTAAAGATATTAAAATAGATAGTAAAAGAGAAAATATTACAATGATGAGTATAAAATTTCTACATACTGCGCATCCCATAGAAAGAGAACCTCTCGCAGAATTCATTGCTAATGATGAAGAATATCGACTTGGGATACTTCAGCTTCTGGAAAATTAATTGCAGAAATAAAAGTATAAAAATAGTGATGTGGAAAACCAAATGCGAGAAGAATGTTAGCTGCATGTTTCACGCGACCCAATTATTCGTTAATTTCGTTGTCGTTTGATTAAAAGGAATTTTACTTTTTTTTTTCTGTTGTAAAATGCGAAGGCCGCGTATGACGCGCACAATTATTTACGCCGTCGATTCTATTTGAAAACTACATAATTGAAATTGAAGAACAGCATTCAGTGACCATTTAGTTTCACCAGTAACGGATTCGCAATTATGTCGTGATTAATCAACACAGTCATTAGCTTGTCCTGTTGACTCGTTATACACGGGTTTTCTGTTGAATCAAATAAAATGTAAATTGTTACAAAAATATACTAAAAATTGTAGATTTTCTTTCTTCGCTTACAGAGACTATTTTTTTTTTTTTTTTTTTTTTACTGGACTTGAGATCAATGGAAGTGATAACATTCTGACGAGTTTTTTTAATGAATTGCGACTTGCATTTAGATTAGACACAGAAGAACTAGTATCAACTGGTTATAAAAACATGTTCTTCTTGCAGAAGAACTAAATCAATTGGTTATAAAAAAATAGAGAAACAAAAGCTTTGTTTTTTAGCTCAAAATGAACGTTATAGTAATGACAGTGGCTTAACGAATTTAATTTTTATTAATTGTCCGTCAGGTTACATGATCAGTCGTCATACGAAATAAAAGAAATTCTTGAAGACTTCAGCAATCACGAATACATTGGTGAAAAAGAATTGCGGGTTCTAACTTGCGAAATACAAGGAAAATACTCCTAGCAATATCATTTATAGTATTTACTAACGCAATATAGAACAAGTAATAACACTTGTTATCTATGAACACTATAACATGTGACATTAACATATATTTATAGCGTGCACCAGAAATAGTCTAACCAAAAAAAAAATATCTAAAATTCTATATCAATGTTTTATATTTTCCCAGTATTCCATTTAAATTTCATATATTATTTCTATGCGTGAATGTATGTGATTTGCGTTAATCTTTAGAAAAGTACATGCATCTTTTTTTTAGAAAAAAAAGGAAAAATGTTCAGCATTATTTAGGAAACAATTATTACGATAGGAAAAGGTTGTCGTTTCTTTTTCTATTCTAAAAAGCGAGTTTCTTTTTACAGAAAAATTATGTATTTTATACCAAACAAGAAACGAAGGAAGAGTGATTGAAGTAAAGCTGATAGAAACGTTATTTATTTAAAAAATCGAATGTGGATTCATCGAAAATATACTTTATTATTTAAAAATATGTATTATAACTTTTATTTAACTACCTCGATACAGTCGATAGCAGCTCGTTGTAGATTACATTTTCTACGTGAAACGTTCTTCTAGTTTTACTAAGGAATGAAATAAAGCAAGGAGAATCTCATGAAATTTTTACCTTTTTCGTTTCTTTATCATTTTCCGCAGTCATTGTGATCGCTATTTAGTATCTGCCCGTCAATCATACGAGTCATATGAATTATGAAAATTTTTTACGAGACACTCCAATAAGTTTTACGCGCAAACAGCATATTGGAAGAAGTTGCACAATGGCGAAGGAACTGTGGAGAACAGTTTCGCGCGAGGAATTCGAATAAATTCTTGGAAAAGCGAGTCACAACGCATCGATGGACATCACCAGTTAGCCGTGATTTTTAGATCGATATTTACGAACGACGAGCGACGTACATCACTGTTGGTAGTTGAACGTACACTGTTGATTTCGTCGCGTACCTCCGATATGTAAGCGCTACGATTAAGTCTCATGGTGGCATTGACGAATATTGCTAGGTAGTGGTACGTCTTGCGTGCTCAAAGCAATGTGAAAGTCTTCTCTCAATACACGGTTAGCATCTTAACGGTGTCGCGTATAAACAACATTTGTAACGAGATGCTAGAAAAGAACATTTTTTTCTGCAGAATTGCCACAAGTATTAGGAAAGAACAATTGTAAGTGTAACAATTCGCGCAATTGAATTACAATCAAGCGTTTTTTACATTACAAACGAATTATGGAATTATTACGACGCTTATCGAGGTACTATATTCTGATAAGATAGCATTAATTTGCTGAATTGCATATATTATTTTTTTTTATTATTACGCTTAAAATGTACTTAAAAAAATATATTGTAAGCATGACTGTGCAGAAAGAGATTAAAACAATTTCTAGCAATGTTCCGTTTCGTCTCCATTCTTAAAGATAAAAAGAAGATGAAAAATAATCTACGTTTTTAATCATCATGATTACTAACGATCGATATCTCGATTGAAAAATTATTTTTGCTTTGAACGATAACGATTAAATTCATAGGAATTTATTTTTCAAGAAAAATACTTATATTGTCAAGGTTTAATAAACAAGAAGCAAATTTTTCTACACCAAAAAAAAAAAAAAAAAAAAAAAAAAGTGAAATCTGATCTCGATTTCCAGTTAAGGTATCCGTGACATTATTTCGCGAGACATCCATTTTGCAGAGGCGTGACGATGCAAGCTTATCTGCATTTACATACAAAGTCACAAATGTGCTTGTCAATTATATCATAATTTTTTTTTTTTAAACAAAGCGTTGATATCATTCTTTATTGCGTGTATATAAAATTCATTTAACTGAGTGAGAGCGTTCGTAAAATTGTGTATGTTTCCCGAGGAACAAGTTTATCGAGATTAACGAAATTCGCACTTTTTTTATTTTCCTTTTTCGCAATGTTACGCAAGAGGTGATCACTGGCATCCTACGCGAGTGAAAGTGAAATAACAATAATCGGATAATCAATTCGTGTTAGAATCGAACATCGATTTATCCGAATTTTATTTATTCGCACGATAGAAAGAAAATTATGTATGAATTAGATATCGTGGAATCTCAAGTTGTAGGAAGATATGGACGATCAATGGTAAAATTATAATTAGAAGATATGATGATTTATTTGCGGTATATATAATATACTAACTCAAAATAATAATATGATAAATGTTAAAAAATAATAATTACCAATGTTAATTCATCACCAATTCTACAATACTACAAATGATGATTTATTTGCGGTATATATAATACTAACTCAAAATAATAATAATATGATAAATGTTAAAAAATAATAATTACCAATGTTAATTCATCACCAATTCTACAATACTACAAATAGAAAAACGCTAATAACCTCGCTGTCGATGCGACAATAAATAAAAAAAAATAGAGAAAGAAATAGAAATAGAAAAATACTTTATATACGTTTAATGAATCGTTCCTCGACATCGAGAAGCAGCAATGTTCAATATTTACCTTTTGATTCTCGTCCATGCTACCCTCATTGTCCGGATAATCTGAAAAGCATACATACGTAATAGAAAAAGAGGTCGATAAATTCTCGCGATACAATCACACACGTTTATTTTACATCACTATTTTACATTCGAGTTCAGTGCTCAATCTATTGTATTAACTGTGCCAACGTACAACGTGTGTTAATTATTCTTTTTACCACTCTATCCAACAAAAAATTATCCTATTTAAAGTTGCTCGTTCTATAAACGCATTGACTTTCACACATGGAGGAAAGTTTCTATCACTGCAGATAAGGCCTTTCAACTATCACATTTTTTTAATACGATAATACGTAAATATATAATACGTAAATGTATTACGCTCGCGCTTTGGCGAACACTGAATTTAATTGAATGAACCGAAGGATCGTCCTGCAAGGAAAATTGATCATCCGTTGTGTTAAGATATCGCGTTACGACAATTGTAATTTAATGGGATGAAAACACCGGTTATTATAACCACTGAGTAACTGCTAAATGAAAACTGCTATGTAACTAAAATCTGTCATGCCGGTTATTAATAATAAAGGCAGCTGTAGTAATTTATAGTAGCTCTCGAATTGGAACACGGTTTAATCAAACCGTTCAATTAAGTCAAAAATGAAACAATTTGACCTGTGTTACCCTGCCAAATATCGTATTACGGTTTGTTGACCGATCATTTTGAACAAAACGTAACAACGTAGGAATGTATGCCCAATTCAAGTTCATTTGAAGCAGAAAAAAGTTTAAGTCTTGACTTAAAAAAAAAAAAAAAAAAACAATCGAGTCGATTTTACATTAGATAGCATGCTTGAGTTATCAAAGTTTAAATTTCTGCGATATATCTTTTCATCATTTGATAACTGTAAGGAAAAAATGTAAATGTTGAAGCTAAATGTTTGAACATTATAGAAATATTATATTAAAAGTTATTTTATAATAAATCCAACTATTATTTTATATTTTAATCCAACTATTATTTTATATTTTAATTTTTAATCTTTAGCCTCAACATTTACATTTAGTACTCTATATAAATAACAAAGTGAAACAAATAAATTCTTAAAATGCAAATCGAATACCTTGTATTTCGTTGACAGAATGTTTCCTCTCACTCATAATTGCTTCGTAATTTCTTAAACTGAACCTGTTCTTACGATGTTAAACCTAATACTGATTCGCTTTTTCAATTGTATTATCATTTTACGGCTATCAATCAAACAGCCTTATCGATCAAAACACGCAAGCTAAGAATTAATTCTGAGATTATCATGCGTTTATCATGTTACCATTGATCACGGCTTTAAGATACAGATTTGCCTTGTAGGCTCACTTTTGTGCGATTGCTCAAATTATGGTGAACAGACATGATTGTTATTATTGATTATTGATATCAGTAAATCGACGATGTGTGACAATCTGAAGTGATACAATCAATAAACGATTCATTTTCTGTTTAATTAAAATATTTAGTAATGTACAAGTAAACTTACTTAGGTAATTTCAAATTTCGTTAATGGCAATAAGAAATTACAAGTGCGCAATTGAAAAATATATTTCCTCCTTCGTTTAGGACTTTCGTAGATAATTTTATCTCTAATTTATATCTTATTTACAGATAAACGTGAATTTTACTTATTACATGAATTGTAATTATATAATTATGAATTATAATTATATAGATAATTATAATTTACATACCTCGCGTTGTTAAGAATTGTAATTTCATTAGATAACAAAATTCATTGTACGTCTCGAATTTTTTCCAACGAATTCAATTCAAACGGTGATTCTGAAAATTTCTTGCGTAGCGAGAAAGAAAGTTTGGTCGCGTGACTTGAAGCAAGAGGCTCTATCTAGCTCTATGTGATTTACAATAATGAATAATCGTTTATCATGAAATCATCCAAATTTCAGGCAGAGAGAACTGCCTGATATGCAGTTGATACATTTATAGTGACTATTGTCACGTTGCATGCTGCTCGTAGAAAGTAACGGTATACTTCTGGAGCTTTCACGTCGTACGCCATCGAATTTGTGATTCTGGATCCACAGTTTTACAGGAGAGACTCGTCGCTACATACGAGGACGGGTTACTGTACTTAGTTCACATTATGGGGTTCGATGTGAACCGCTTTCAAGGCGAAGTTGACGAGGAACTTGTTTGTCCAATATGTTCTGGAGTGTTAGAGGATCCTGTTCAGGTATTATCTTTATTTCGTTCGTTTGTTATTGAACACCTCCAATAAGTAAATTTTATGCGTATACGGAAAACCAACCTAACTTTTCTGCCTTCTTTCTTTCATCGTTTCTATAGTCGTCTTATTTTCCATTGACTAGCATGTTCGTGTTGTTGATTATTTTTATACGTCGTGTTATTCACAACGATCGAATTTATTAAAAGTACGCGTGAAAATTTCATACTGATTATATAATGTTAGTTATATTTTTACAACTTTCGTTCTGTCAAAGCATTTGTAATTACTATCCTTTCGATTCCCTGTTTTTTCACAATGACACAAATAACATAAATAATTGTATTGTATGAGTTATTCGACATATTATTTTATATTGGTTATGTATTTTTACATATAGTACTAAGTTTTGTAAAAGTGTAGTTTGGCTTAAAGACTTGTAGGTGAGCAATATGTTACAGGCACCTGTATGTGAACATGCCTTTTGTCGTACATGCATTAATGAATGGATAAACAGACAACCCACTTGTCCATTGGATCGCACACCAATTACATCTGCTCAGCTTAGAGCAGTTCCAAGAATTCTTCGGAATCTGTTGGCCCGCCTTTGTATTAGTTGTGATAATATGATATACGGATGTCAAGTGGTAGTCAAGCTTGATAGTTTAGTGTCACATTTGGAGCAATGTGAATATAATCCCAAGAGACCGATGCTTTGTGAACAAGGATGCAGCCTTATTATTCCCAAAAACGAGTTGAAAGATCACAATTGTGTGAGAGAGCTCAGAAATATTATACATTCGCAGCAACAAAAACTTGCTGATATGAAACGTGAGTTAGGTGAACAACAACTTCAAATAAATGAACACAAGAGGGAAATACACCTTCTAAAAGATTTCATGAGAGCATTGAGAGTTTCAAATCCTGCAATGCGTGCTATTGCTGATCAAATGGAAAGAGATGATGTTATAAGATGGTCTGCTACTCTTCCTAGAGCAAGAGTAACAAGATGGGGAGGAATGATTTCTACACCTGATGAATTGTTGCAGGTAATTGTAATTTATAAGTTAATGCTACTAATTAATTAACTCTAACAAATAATTTAACATTATTTTGTAGACAATGATAAAGAGAACTTTGTCAGAATACAATTGCCCACCTCATATAATCGATGACTTAATGGAAAATTGTCATGAAAGGAAATGGCCTCCAGGCTTAAATTCGCTTGAAACCAGACAGAATTCTAGAAGACTATACGATAATTATATTTGTAAAAGAGTCCCTGGTAAACAAGCAGTGTTAGTTCTTTTTTGTGATAATACCCATATGCCAGAAGACATGATGATTGAACCTGGATTAGTGATGATTTTTGCACATGGCATAGAATAAAATTTTATACCAATGTTTACTGTGCATGTCAAAATAATTTGATGTATATCCATTCTGTTTGTTATATTCGTGACCAATCTTCAAGGTACAAGGAATACCTTTGTACTTATGTGCAAATATTGGGATATTTTCATAATTTATCTTGCAATTAATGCAGGATATCTTTCAAATTGTATTGAAAGAAACAAATGACATGCCTTTTGTGATAAACAATTGTACAGACGCAATTGCCACATACAAAAAATCTAATTGAATGTCTGGATCATTACACTGTGATATACTATTTCATTGAGAAAATTCCTGAAATTGCGTGATAAATGGTAAATCATTTTTGGTTCTTTCGTATAATTGTACATTTCTTCAAATTCAATTCTTTGTCTAACATCTAACAAATCAACTATTTGTCAACTATTTCAGGAAATTTTTTTTACGTATATAGAGAAGTCTGTAAGTGTTTTATTATAATGCTTTAGACAAGTAAGAAACAAAAACTATAGAAATTATCAATATGGTAATTACTATTATTAAGATATAAATGTGTTCTAAAAGATTAATGTCAAATGTCTGAATGAAGAATAATTTCTTCTTTTCTCAATATTATTTATATGATTTTAATAAAATATCTAAAAGTACGTACAATGAAATAAATACGCTACACAACGATCGTTTGAATAAATTAATATACTCTGAGCGAACACGGTCGTATATATCGTTAAAAACTTACAAAATAGAAAGAATGCTATTTTCATAGAATAATTCACAAATAATAGTTTGAACTAACGCTAATTATGTACTAATTAATTAATGATTTCGAATTTTCTTAGCGTCATTTTCTTTTGAAATTAATTTTGTAATTTAATCAATATATAAGAAGCATTCGACCCTCTAGGTATTTTTAAATGAATACATGACAAAATTTTAATTTCTTGTCTTTGCACAAATACGAAGTAAGTTCGTTTCTTAAATTATGTTATATACCATCGAATGTACGACTTTTTATACAACTTAATCAGCTTTTTATCTCGATTAGGAAATGCAATGCATATTTTATTTTTGGACATTTAAATATTATGACTTATATTTGTATATAGTTTTTTTTATTTCTATTTACATAACACATTTTTTAATAGTTTACAATTTTAATACATTGAGTAACATAAGTAATTTAGTATGTTCTTTGGTTTGTTCTTTGTTAATTTTGCAATAAAATTTTCGATTTTATATTGTTTATATTGGATTCTTTTTGCTTTTTACATATTTAGTAATTAAATCTATATATTAAAAAAAATATATCACAAAATATAAATGTAAAATGCTAAAATATTTTTGCAATATATCAATACATCTTAAGCACTCAATGCATTAAATTGTCGTTTTTTCAGAGTTTTTCTCAACATGTGTACTGATAAATTGTAAATAATTTTATATACAAGTTGATAGTTGTTATAATAAATTTGATTTTACATATTGCAAGTTATTTGATATAGTATCGTTTATTTTGTATTATATGTTCGCGTATCATAGCGATATAGAATCATCAGGCTCCAATGTTGATCTGTCACAAGAAGAATGCAGTAAAATTAAATAGCGAATTAAAGAGAATATTGTATCTTCTGTTATATTTAAAATTTAAAAAATTTATTCCGCGGATATATTTTTTTTTTCTTATATTACTTTATTTATTTAGCACCTTAAATTTTCTAAACGTTTTTATGTTTACAAAAAAGTTACAAAAGTTTTTATCAATAGTATAGAACTTCTGACTTTTATTATAGTATACGATAGTACTCTTTGGTTGTGTATTACAATAGGTTCTATATAATTATCGTTACCATTTCGTCTCTCTTCAAAAAATTTGTAATTCGGCTAATGTGAATGATACAGTTTACTCGAGTGTTTAAATAACCATTAAAGGATGCGTAGTAGGGTTTTCCACCATAATAAGTAGAAAAAATGCGACGTTCAGTCTTTTGTGCGCTCGGACGAGGTTGTACATTTGCCGAAAATGTTCTTTTTTTGCACGATTCTTAAAAATTTGTGTTAAAACCGTATGAAGATTGTTGAATAATTTTTTTCGAAATTTAAATACATTAATGGTTAGGGCCTGAGATACACTACTCGATGTCCGATGACTTATTTATTCCTCCTTATTTTCGAACAGTTACCTTAAATATTTAGAATACTAAAATAAAAAATTTAAAAATGAACCGGACTCACGTAACGTTATATATATATATATATATAAAACATTTTTCTTGTTAGTTAAAAAACATTCGAAAATTGATTGATCGTTGAGAAAAGTAGTTGCAACGTTACGTTAATCGATTTTAAGTGCAATTTTAAATAACATTCTTAGAGATTCCTATATTGTTGGGCATACGCCTGCGAGGACTTGCCCGTAAGCACGTTCGGGATTCATATGGATAGCTTTCATGTTGATATGAATGTTTTTAATACACCCGACGTATTGTGATTGCGAAGTACTTCCTCGTAATCTTTTTCCAAGCATCGGATGACCGCCAATGAAGATCGGATGCTTGGATAGTACACCCGCTACATTTTTACCACCGATTCCTGGCTCGGCTGCTTTGTAATCGACTGACAAAAGCACGGCATTCTTCTGTTTAACAGCTGTACAATGGAAATGCAAAACGTTATTTACTTTCTTTTGCCCTTTAAGAGCTACAATAAAATATTACCTCGAATATTGTGCCAATTGCCGTCGCACAACGAATTCGGTTTCGTTGGCTCGAACGAAGTTTCTATCGAACCTTTTGCTGTTTTAACAAGAAACTTGACCGTTCCATTGATCATTTCTAAGACCAAATAATCCCGTTTGCCATGGACAGACAACAAATGACCAGACGTCGAACGTGGTTTAATGTCCATTTGGATATCGACTGTTCTACCAACTGTGAATCTATCCACTAAAATTGTATTGCACGATTAGAACTTAGATCGTTATATACAATTTTATTAATGTATATTATTTAAAAATATATGTACGATATGCACCTGCTCTGAACAAATTGCTACCATTACCCGGATAGAAGAACAATCCCTGTTCGATTCGTTCCGAACATGGAATCACGCCCACTTTATTTATAGGCTCACCAACTGGTTGTCCATTTACCATAAAATTACCTAAGCATCCGTTGAAGGTGTGATTCATACCCTGAAATTAATAACCAGATTTTTATTAAAAACGAAGAACTTATACTATAGATATATTGTAGATAATTACTTACTATTGTATTAAAAACTTTGGTGGACATATCTTGCAGCACTCCACCAACATAAAACGGTGGACTAACGTTCATAGTTTCTACGATCCCTTGAGAGTACCCTGTAACTGCTTCATCTTCGTCTACGATAAGTTCCCCGTAGTTTCCTTGCCTTTTAAATATTACGATGTGCCATTCATCGTCGTTTATTTTTTTATCGCTAACTAACAAAGCTGGTCCACTTCCGCAATCAAACTTGTAATTAAGCTTTAAAAAAAGGGGGGGGGGCGGATAATTGCAATTCACTTGTTTACGCATGATGCAAGATAATTCTTATTGACGTCGAAATATACGAATACGTTTTATCTAAAGTCTATTTTTCCGAAACAATTTCGATTACCTGACATTTTGATCGATGTGAAATTTCATACTTTACCTTCCCGTCACTGACGTACACGGCGATTAAATTCTGATTAGTAAGGTCCGACGTGTAGAAAATAATTCCTTCGTCAGCCATTGTTTTGATACCGATTTGGAAATCGTAATCATTCTTGTATCTGCCGTTCAGTGATCTGTATTCCAATCTACTGTTTCTCGCAGTACCTGCAAGTGACACGTTCTTTCATCGAAACTTCTTCGTTTCTTCCATTTTTTTTTTAAAATATCATGCCAAACGCATCGTACCGAAACGCCAGGCATTTTCCATATTTGGATCGACAGCCGGATAATATGGCAATCGACATTCATCGACGTACAACGGTGTCGTTCTTTGAGTCGAAACAGTAGCCTGTGTGGTTGTAGTTAAATCACTGCCGCCGCGTCCTTCTACCATAGGTTCCTCATCATCCGTGTCCTTGTCTATATCGACGTCGATGATGTCTAACGAAACGGAGCAATAAATTATAGATTAGATCGCTGCATCGTTATTATTATTATTCATGCTGTTATCTACAACATTCTACTCACTGATCTGAGTAGATACTTCGACGTTATCGTCCGTACTTTCCGTAGGCAACAGAGGAGGCGGCATATCCGGTTCTGGCTCAGGTTTAGATAGCGCAGCTATAAGTATAGCACATTTATATTTATATATATACATATTTATATTTATATTTATATATATATATGTGTATTTATATTTATATATAAATATATGTATTTATATACTTATATTTATATTTATATTATATATATATTTATAAATATATTTATATTTATTTATACGTGTGTATTTATATTTATATTTATATTATATATATATATATATATATATATTTATAAATATATTTATATTTATTTATACATGTGTATTTATATATATATATATGTTAAAATAACATTTTTAATGTTTCAACTCATCAATTACTTACACGATGGATCTCCCAGCTTGCACTTGCCAAGAAGAGCGTGAGGCCTTTCCGTTGTGTTCGCGAAATTGACGATAACTCCGTTCAATGTTGCATCTCCGATACAACCGACAAACGGTGTCATGGCACCGGTCTGAGGGATGCCGAAGACAGTTGGCAAACCGCCGATATACAAACTGCCATAAGGTATCTCCAACGGCGGTGTTTCCAAGTCGAAGCTGTAATTCTTAATATCATCGATATCGAGCTTCAAAGAATCGCGCGAGTGCGTAGCTATGACTACGTGCCACTCGTTGTCGTTGAACTTGATGCCCGTGGAAGTAGTTCGTAGTTCGTCGCCCTGGCTGTTGAAAACGAGAACACCGTCGATCAGCGACAAGTAGCTGACCACACCTTTCTCGTGGTCGGTCACGTAGAAGATCAGACCATCGTTCGCCAAGGTCTTGAATTTCAGGTTCACCTGAAGGCTGCTCGGCACGGAGATGTTGTGCCATCTTACGTAGCCGGGTACGTTCTCCTCGAAAGATACCAAACTTGCAAACTAAAGAAAGAAGAGAAAACTGGTCTAATTATACATACAGTGGCATTGCTATAGGTAGGTTTATGCTTCCTTTTACAATTTATACTTTAATTAATTACAAAAACGTGTTACTTTTAGAGGGAAATGTTACATTACCCGCACTGGGCAAGCAGGAACCACACCAAATGCTTGAATGTTACGGGTCAAGTCGACTATGGTGTCTAAAATAACCACCTCGTCGATGCAACCTTCGAAGCCCTCGTTGGTCACCGGCTCGTAAGGATGTTTAGCATTCGGTGGATATCCTCCGAAGTATATGTTATTCGAGGACACCAAGTTCTTGTTGTTTCCTTCTGCTTTCTTCTTCACCACATCCATACCATCCACTTTCAGAACGCCCGCTTTCTCGTACCTAAGGGCTTCCAGGCTGTGCCAATTCCCATCGTTGTATCTGTTCGAGGACCTCAAGGTGGTTGCCCCTTCGCCAAGATCGTACTGATAGATCACGTAGCCCTCTCTCATTTCCAGCGACAGGAATTGCTTGCCTTTGCCCATCAAGTAGATCAATCCATTCTCCGCGAACGTCTTCAGGTTCAATTTAATGCTGAACTTCTTGCTGTCTGGCGAAATTTGGAAGTCTCGTTTACTTAAAATCGCGTAGCCGTGTTTGTCGAATCTGTAACCGGTGCTAGGTTGGAAGTTGATCAATTTGTCCCTCTCCATCGCGATCTTCTCGTTGTTTTCACCGTCGATGAAGTTCCAGAAGGAGACCGGAGTGTCTTCCCCTATCACGAGATCTTCCATTTCACCTTCGAACGAGGATGCGGTCACGGCGTTCTGCATGTTGAAGGACGATGGATAACCGCCCACGAACAACTTGGACTGTTCCTGGTCCAAGTCGAATATCGTGTGCGATCCAGGCAACACGTGCCCCTTCTCGTAAAACTGATCCTTCCCTTCACCGATATCCTCGCGGACGATCAGTTTCACGTTGTTGCCGGTCCTCTCGACGATTATCTGACGCCAGACGTTGTCCGACACGAATTTATTGTTGATGATCTTTTCCGGCCCGGAGCCGAAATCGAGGATCAGCACCGGGTAACCGCTCTCGATCAGCAGCGCCATGAAATCGTGCGTCTTGGAGCGCGGCAGCTTGGCGTTCTCCTCGTTTCCCAGATAAAGCAGAAAACCGTTCGTTGTGTTCGTTCTGAAATATAAAGATATCTTAGTGGACGTGGCCAGTAACGGGAGATTTTCAGGATTCTTCAGCTCGAGGGTGGTGTTCCTGTAGAAGGTCAGGCCGACCTTCCGACGATCCGCAAGTTCCCTGGCGTTCGCGATCTTGTTCTTCAGCGACTCGATCTTGCTCTTGAGATCGTTCCCGCTGGTGTCAATCGACTTCTGATTAACGTTCAGGTCGTGCAACAGTCTCATTATGCTCGGCAAGTACTTGTCGACGCTGTCCAGCTGTTTCCTCGCCTGGGATATGTCGCGAGTCAATTCCGAAATGTTCTTCGACAGCTGTTTCGTCTCTCTCAGATCTTCCGGGATTTTATCGACGATACCGTTCATGTTGTTCACGGAGAGCCTGATGTTCTTCTCCACTTCTACGACCTGACTCATAGCGTCCCGAGCCACCGTCGAAGATGGCGATTGAATGTTCGCCAGGATCTTCTCGATGTAATCCAACAGCTTGCCGTTGTGCTCGTTCTGCGCGGAGATCACGGTGGCGTTCGTTTGAGCGTTGTTCAAATCCCTCTCTGGCTGGCCGGTCGTCTTCGACAGAGTACTCTGCGCTGAGTTTAACAAATTCAACACCGTGTTCCGGGAGTCCAACATCCTCTGCTCGACACCGTCTGAAAGACCAGTCGCGTTGTTTGCCGCGTCAGTGGCGTTGTCCGCAGCCTCGCGGGCTGCCTCTATCGCCGTTTCAATGTTCCTGTAGGCGGAAACAGCTTTCACGGCGTCGGTGTTCCTCGTGTCGGTCAAAAGGCTGTCGAGATCAATGGATCGATTGTAAAGATGCTCGGCGTGCGTCTGTGCGTTTTGGACCGGGGTGAGCACGTCCAGCAGCAATTCGTTGTTTTCCTCGATCGTCCTGTTCAACACGTCCGTCGAGTCGTCTATCGCGTTTACTTTCAACGCCTCCGCGTTGTAACCCGCTTCGTTGAGATACCGACTGGCGTTTCTATTCAATTCCTCGCCAGCCAATAAATCTTCCTTCGCCTCGGCGGTCGAGTTTTTCACCATGTCGAAGTTCCCGGTCTCGGCCGCGAGTCTGTTCTCCTGATTCAGCCTGTCGACGAGACTGGCCAGCTCTTGAGCCTTCCACGTAATCTCGAGCAGGTCGTCCATCTTGTCCGACACGTTTCGGATCTTGCCGCTGAGGCCATCAGCGATGGACGACAGATTGTCGACTGGCACGTTGTACTCGTTCATTTCCGAGACGAGGATATTGGCCTGATCGGCCTGGTCCGTCGCACGATCGCGGAAATTCACGAACGACACCTCTCTGATCTTTTTTAGAATGTCCGCAGCCTCTTTCAACGCGCTGTCCACCTTGGCGCCGGTGCCTAACTCAATGTTCAGAGCGAGGGACTCCACCTCGGAAACGGTCGATCTGACCAAATCAATCTCCTTCATCACATCTTCCTCGAGAAGGTTCATGTTCTCCAAGTTACTTTCCGCCGCGAGCTTCCATCTCACGCTGTCCTCCGCCGTGTAATCGATCTCGCGTTTCTGGTTCGATACCTCTGACTCCAGCCTCTTCACTTCCTGCTGCAGCGGCAGGAAGTTCACTCTGCTGGGATCTAAGAGCTTCACCTTCGGATAGAAATCGTTTACCGTGTCGTTGATAAACTTCAGCCTTTGATTAGTGAAATAGCTCTCGGCCACTGTGTTGAACTCCGTGAAGACAGGATCTAACAAATCAGACAGCTCGTCGGTAACGTCTAGCAAGTTCCCGGTGCAGGAGTCGCAAGCGAAGCAACCTTGCCCCGGGATCAACACGTTCCTGTACGGGCAGTGATCGCATTTCTCCCCGATGACGCCCGGCAGGCAGCTGCATTGGCCGGTGGTGGCGTTACAAGACACACCGACCGAGTATCCGGTGTTACATTCGCAAGAGGTACACCCTTCCGGTCCGTAGTTCCAGTAACCTTGAATACACTGGTCGCATCTGCGTCCAGTGACGCCAGGTTTGCATCGACACTGGCCTGTCGCTTCGTCGCACTGGCTGCTCTCCGAGGCGGTTCCGCATTCGCAGGCTTTGCAACCCTCGCACGTGTCGTAGCCATAGTGATTCTCCGCGCAACGATCGCATTCCTCTCCAATAACGTTCTCGCGGCAATAGCACTGGCCGTTGTAACTGTCGCAGTGTTCCATGCCACACTCTTTGCACGAACAGGTGCGACAGTCCTTCCTCTCGACCGCGTCGCCGAAGAATCCTGGCCTGCAGAGGTTGCAAGCTTCACCGTAGGTGTTGTTCAAACAACGCAAGCATTCGCCGGTTCTGGAGTCGCAGGCATCGATCTCGTTCGTGTCGATGTTGCCAGAACATTTGCACGGTTTGCAGTAATCGCCGTACGACTCGGGATTCCCGTAGAAACCGGAGCTGCAGGACTCGCAGCGAGCGCCGTAGTAACCCGGAAGACAGTCGCAGCTGATTTTATTCCCTTCGTCGTTCACTTCGCAGCCGGTGGCGAAATTGTTGGCCGGGAAGGGCAAAGGACAGGCGCAAATGAGACAATCGGTGGGAGTTCCTCCGGTGGCATTGCCGTAGTAGCCTTGCTTGCAAAGCTCGCAATGGTCACCCGTGGTCCCGTCTTTGCAGTCCTGCGAAGGAGAGGTTATTTAAAATATCTTTAGATTTTCAGATGGATGTCGGTTAGTGTAATACCTAGAGTTTAATATATAATTTATAATATATAAAGATAACATTTATAAATATATTTATATTTATGTTCATAAATTTTATATTTATAAAATATGAATATTATAAATTTTATATTTATAAAAACTATAATATTGTGAATTTTATATTTATAAAATATGAATATAGTTTTTATAAATTTTATATTTATAAAATATGAATATAGTTTTTATGAATTTTATATTTATAAAATATAAATATTATAAATTTTATATTTATAAAAATTATAATATTATAAATTTTACATTTATAAAATATGAATATTACAAATTTTGTACCTATAAAATATGAATATTATAAATTTTATATTTATAAAAACTATAATATTGTAAATTTTATATTTATAAAATATAAATTATAAATTTTATACTTATAAAATATGAATATTATAAATTTTATATTTATAAAATATAAATTATAAATTTTATATTTATAAAATATGAATATTATAAATTTTATATTTATGAAATATGAATATTATAAATTTTATATTTATAAAAATTATAATATCGTAAATTTTATATTTATAAAATATAAATATTGTAAATTTTATATTTATAAAATATGAATATTACAAATTTTTATATTTATAAAATATAAATATAAATTTTATATTTATAAAAATTGTAATATTATAAATTTTATATTTGAATATTAATATTAATATGAATATTATAAATTTTATATTTATAAAATATAAATATTATAAATTTTATATTCATAAAAATTATATTTATTATATTTATATAATATAAATATAATATAATATAACGTATAAATTTAATATACAATTTATTACATATTTAATAAATAAATTTCGCTAAACGAAACTGACTCGTTCGAGCGTATTTTTACTTTAGATTCATCGATCAAAACTATTGAATTAACTTACTATGCACAGGCCAGTTTCGACGTCGCAAGTATCTGCATGTCCGTTGCACTCGCAACGAACACAGTATCCACCGTGAGGTCCAGACTCTACTCTGTAATATCCCGGTGCGCATTCCTCGCAGGAGAGACCTTGATAATTCGGTGGACACTGACACTGCTCGACGCTACTGGCTGGGACGTTGTACTGCGGCGAATAGTTCTCTGTGGTCACGTCCAAAGTCACGTACGACAAAGATGCTGCTATGCTAGGACTCCAATAAGCAGCTCGGATGTGTATTCCTCGGAGATCCTCGAGCACCACCATCAACTGTTCTCTCGTGGCGCTCAGACGACTCTCGGTAATGAAGTTCGTTTCGATTAGCTCCACGGACGCTTCGAAATTCGTGAACGACGGCGGTTGTTCCTCGGCGTAGTGAAGCAACGTCGTATCGGCACCTTGGAGGACCACATCAGCCGCGCTGATCGCCTCGCCGAACGGCCCGGTGCTGTAGTGTACGGTGTAATTCAGAAATCCTCCGTAGGAAGTCAACTTTTTCCACAGATAAGTCTCCGGCGCCGAGAAGTAAATGATTCTCCCGAACGTGTCGTTGGTGGTGAGACCGACGGAGATACTCGTCGAGTTCAATTCTTGGGGGATCGTTGCCAAGTACGTGAGATTTCCACTTTTCTCGTTGGACATTGCCAACTCCCAGTTAGTCATGTCGGACACCTGAGCTCTGTACAAGTTGGCCGACGCGCACCTAGTAGTTTTTCCAAAACAGAAACACTTGGTGCAACCTTCCTCGTTGTCCTCTTGAATGTCGAACGTACCCTCCTTGCACACGTCGCAGGCTGATCCTTGGACGTTCTTTTTGCAGAAGCATTCAGCGGTGTATTGGTCACAGATATTCGCGGTGGTTCCCCTAGTGTCGCAGTCGCATTTCTCGCAGTGGGGGAACTGCGAGTAGCCAGGTCGACACTTGTCGCACTGCCTTCCCTGCACGTTCTCCTTACACCGGCAGGTGCCGTTTAGAAAGTCGCATTGCAGGTCACCGTCCACGACGCCAAGTGGGCTGCAGTTGCATTCCTCGCAGCCGTAGATCGGATGGAATCCGTATGTTCCCACCTCGCACTCGTCGCAATGTTTGCCAACGACCTTCGGTGGACAGATACAGGCGCCTGTTTCCGGTTCACAGACCGTGGGACAGTTGCAAGGGCTGCAGTTGGGGAACCCGTAGAACCCGGTTTTGCAAATTTCGCATCGCCTACCAATAATGTTTGGTTTACACGGACATTGTCCGCCGAATTTCTCACACTCGAGGCTCACGGATCCGTTGATGTTGCAGTTGCAGGGTAGAGCACGGTTGTTGTAGTTGGTCGTTAAGGAGAAGATCGAGTCGCGGCACAGGCCTTCCTCCGTGGCGTTGATATGGAAATGATTGTACCCGCATTTCTTGATAAACTCCTTTGTCTGATCGAACTGAATCTTCTTCAAGATCTTCTCGTTGTACTGCTCCGTTGGGATGACTAGAATGTAGTCCATCCAGATACCGTTGCCGGCGCTCTCCTTGAAAGTGATCATAAAGTTCTCGATCAGTTGAAACCTGATGTTGCCGTCTTCCTGTTTCACCACGCTGCGACATCCGCTGTTGCTGGGACAGTGGGGAACGGACATCTTTGCCTCGTAGAATTTGCCATTTTGTAGCAACACGTCGAGCTCGTATTCCGGATAGTTCGGTTGATAATATTGCACGACAAAGGTATAATCTCCAGGCTGTAACACTTTCGCGTGAATGTCTACCATTGTGTTCCTATCGTCCAAGTAGATCAACTTCGTGCCATTGTCGTAGATTCCGAAAGGTTTAACGTCCGACTCGGGGATCGTGCTGCTGGTTTCGAATTCGATTTTCTTCGCGTCCGCAGCTTGCGGGAACTGACCTCTCACGCATTTCCCGTCCTTTCTCACGCATATTGATTTTGGTTTAACATAATCCAAAGACCACTGATTGTATGGAATGGCGACGACGGAATCGATGGCTACGTTCGAAGTGGGCTCTCCGGTTAAAACCAAGCTGACATAGTTTGAAGGGAAATTCATCGTGGCAACTCTGCCGTAGCTATCAGTTACTACCTGTCTACAAACACTGGTATACTTGCAAGGATAAAGAGTAGCTTTCCCTTTGCCGACAGTGTTCGCCTCTATCAGAAGCGTTGACGTGATGTTCTCGTCTTTCGGCGTTACGTAAGTCACCAGCAAAACGTGCAGGCCTGGTTTTGAGATTCTTAAATCAAAGTGTATCTCTTCTTGTCTCTCATTGACCAACGGAACTTCAACCTTGTCAATTTCCTGCAGCACGTCCCTGTCCATGAAATATTCGGACAGGGGGATTCTGACGTTATTTTCGTTGAGAAATCCACCAGCACCGTGAACAGAATCGAATCTCATCAGATCGGGATAACCGTAGTGTCTACAGAGTCCTTTGTAACCAACCTCGCAAGGGATATTCACGTCTTGAGTTAGAATGGTTGCTTCGTAATATTCAGACGGAAGCAGCACGAAGTAGTCGAGGAGAAGATTCTTCTTAGTTGCAATACTAATGGACCAATATCCTGGATTCATAACCATCGCCGAAGGGAGATTACCTTGGGCTCCGGCGACGGTCACAAACGATGGTTTCACGGTCGGTTTGAAATTCACCTTAAACTGTTGCTCTACCTCCGATGGATTTTCAGGGGTGATGGTGATCGTTCCAAGAATCGGCTCGTTACTCGGATTCACGTACTTCAAAACCATTCTATAGAGGGACGATTTCTGAATAAAGACGTTCAAAATGATCTCATCGCGAAGAACAGAAAACACGGCGTATCCCTTCCAACTGTATCCTGGAAAGAGATCTTCGACGAAACCGTAACGAACGGGCATGTTATTAGGCATTTTCCCATCCTCTGCCTCGTACTGGAATTGATGAAGGGTCGGGAAATAATGGGCTTTCAATGGTTCTTTGCAGGTCAGACCTGTGACGCGTGGCTGACACTGACATTGGCCAGTTTGCTTATCGCACACCGGGTTTACAGAACCACCGATGTCACAAGCGCAGTCTGAAACAGAAAATGTTCGTCATTTACATTTGTTGAAATAATTTTCGTTACCAATGCATAAATTTCATACCTGTACAACCGAAGAAATTGCTCTCTTGAAGATTATATGTACCATCCACGCACTGGTTGCAGCTCCTGTCAGTTACTCCAGGTTTGCAGATACATTGACCACTCTTCGTGTCACATTCACCGATATTTCCAATAACACCTGGTATATTGCACTGACACTCTTAAAATACAATAAAAAAGATTTGGTATAGATTACTGTCTATCGCATTATCATCTTGCTGATTGTATTGTGAAAATTTCGCTGTTATATTTACCCTCACAACCCTGAGGATTGTAGGACTGCAGATTCCAATAGAGCGGCTTACACTGGTTGCAGATTCTACCTTCGACACGATCCTTGCATTGGCAAAGCTCACCGGCAGGTAATGAACCACATCCCTGGAATGTTTCTACGACACCTGCTGGGTCGCAGTTACAACCCTCGCAAGTGGGAAAATTGTAAAAGCCCTCTTTACACTGGTTGCACCTGGCGCCGTCGAAATTCTCCCGACATTGACATTTACCCTCCACGTCGCAAGACGCGCCAATCGAACCGTGGCTGTCGCAGTTGCAGGCTACAGTTACGATAAAGGACTATCAATGGACTCAAAGGATCAAAGAATGATCACTACTTCACTTTTCTTTAAGCTACGGGAGAATATAGGATAAATTATAAAACACATACCAGTCTATCATAGAATGTAGAAATTAAAGTATACGATATTTAAAAAAATGTGGGATTGCATTTAGCCTGAAAGGTGTCTTGAAAAGTGATTTTGAATGGTCAAAATCTGTCCTTTCACTTTAGGAATGTCTTGCAAGTAATTCGCAGAATTAGCTAACATTCCCCTACTACAGTATTGAAAGCAGAGTAGGAGGAATACTATAAGCTCTCGAGCTTAAGCTGAACGTAACCAGTTATAAATAGAAATCTTATGTACCTATACATTCTGGGTACATGTAATACCCAGGGCTACACTGACTGCAAGTTCTTCCAGCGAAATTAGCCAGGCAAGAGCATTTTCCTATGGCGTCGCAACTAATTGAGGATGATCCTATTAAACTGCAGTTGCAAGGCCTGCAATTTGGAAATCCGTAATACCCGTTGATACATTGATCGCATCTGGGACCACCGTATCCTTTTTTACACAGACAGGAACCGTTCGATTTATCACACACTCCAGGCTCGGTTCCCCGTGTATCACAATTACAGACTAAAAGAATAATACTAGTTATACTTGTCTCATCTTGAAATCGTAATTTGTTGAATACACTCACATGTACAGAGAGGATAATTGTAGTAGCCGTCTTCGCAAATGCTGCACGTTCTTCCACCGTAGTTGTTCTTGCAGGTACAATTGCCAGAAATGACGTCACAGTTATCATTGAGAGATCCCAAAGGATTGCATTCGCAGGCTATAAATTTTGTTATATAAATCACAACAAAAATTGCACGATTGCATAATGAAATTCATACTTGTTCTATTTACTCACGTAAACAATCGGGGAATTTATAGTAGCCCTGCGCGCAGAGGTCACAATAATGACCGGCATAGTTCAACTTGCAGGGACAAGATCCATCTATGGCTTTGCAATGATCTCCATCTGTCCCATTGCTGAAACACTGGCAGGGAACACAATTTGGATAGCCATAGTATCCAAAACTGCAACTGTCGCAATTAGGCGAAGTGTACTCTTTTCGACACTCGCATTTCCCGGTGGCATCCGCGCAGTTCCCGGTCAAGTTTCGCGCGTTACATTGACATGCTGCGAGAGAAACGAAAAATCAAATGACGATTGCGGAAGAGATTCACTAAGAAAATCGTTCCCTCAGTGAAGTCACTGTAACTCACGTTGACAGACATCAGTTGCGTTCAAAGGTTTATCTTGCGGCCTGTAGAACGTTGGCTTGCACCGATTGCAGTTGATTCCTTCGGTGTTGTGCCGACAATTTTTACACACACCGCCACCCTCGTAGTTGCCGTGAATATCCAAGGACAGGTGTTTCTCGTCGATTTCCGTACTGTATTCGCACTCGTCCGTGTGCCCGAAACAGTTGCAAGCTGAACAAGTAAACGGTTTCTTATTTCGTGCAACGAAACAACCTTGCGCTTAAAGTAGACGAAAGACGCGCGTCAGAGAGAGAAAGAGAGAGAGAGAGAAATTATTCTCACGTTCGCAAGTGAACTTCTTAAACGCTGTGGACTGTCGCCACTTCTTTTGCTCGAATCCTCTGCAACAAGTCGCACACTGTGCACCGCAAGTGTTGTGTTGACATCTGCAAACGAGTTTCTTCGGCATTTTTGGATCCAGTATGTCGCAAGTGTCCGCGTGGCCATTGCACATGCACCGACCGCCAATACTGATATCTTTGACGGAGTAAAAATACTGAAACACAACAATTCAACAATTCAATTGTTATTGCTCTCCTCGGTATCGTAATCAACGATAAAGTTCGACGAATTTCGAGAACGCTTACCCTCCTGGTCACGGTCGGATCCTCCCGCACCAAAGACATCAAATGCCCCAGTAGATTCTTCGTTCTGAGGAAACGGAAACGAACGTTCGTTGCTCGTGTCCATTCTTGCAACACGGTTGAATTGAAGTAATGCTTCGCGGACGGACGGCTATTTAGAATTGATATCGGTATTTCACCACCCTCCAGTGGCACGATCTGAGAGTATTCTGTGGTACAGATGACACTGTCGTCCCTGGTTATGGGTTTATAACTATCCACACCAAAATACGTTAAACAATCGTTTGCTGTATCGGAGAAGTATTGCCAGGGGGACCAGGTCTTCCCATAATCTTTGGACTTTTCGAGCACCCAGAGTCCGGGTCTCGGCGAATTGCCCATTTTTAAGTAGACGTATGCCACGTGAAATTCCTAGAGAGAAAATTTCGTTCAATTCTTTTTACTCAAATCGAGGTCAGTTAGGAATGAACAGGATTAGACAGTTTTATTTTCCAGAAAAAGAAGGATAAAAAAAAAAGGGTAAAATGAATTACAATTATTCGATGGAAGATGGTATTTAACATCGATACGTGGAACTTGTTAACTTAGAACTTAAGAAGATATAACACTGGGAGGGGAAAAAAAACAAAGAGAAACATGTGTGTCGAACTCGGGGTTTTTGTACCTCCTCTGAAAATTCCCGAGCACGTAGCCGAGAACACACGAGAGGAAGATCATGTTAGCGCGGCGTAAATGAGTTCTTCTAAGAAGCTATTTAGCGGAAAGACAATAACACCAGATTTGCAACGAGAACATGCATCCATAGTACATGCACGTCGAATTTTAATTGTAATTTTTTTATTAGCTATACATCTTTTAGCATATTCTGGATCTCTAATTTTCAATGAAAAAAAATAATTCAATGAAAAGTGAAATATCGAAATAAAATCATTTTGAAATTCGTCCAAAATTCTGACATCAACGAAACGAACGGACAGAATGTCTATTCGCTGTACCATTTACCCCGCTCCCTAAAACCCGCGTTTTCTATTGTTCTCCGGAAATAATGCGAAGATAATTCTTTCCCGCTCTGCAGGAAGACGCCTACTACGTGATAAAGCAATTTGTTACAGATAAAATACTTATTCCACAGGCTCATTGTTTCCTGTTGGTGTCAATTCTCTTATTCTCTGTTTACTCATTTTTATTTCACAACACACGGCCGCTCAGTTGGACGAAAACAAGAAGGAATAATTGATCAAATATATTGTCTGTATTGATAATTTTGTTTAAGCTTACTTGTCCAAAATTGATCGTCAGGTTGACTTCGTTGTACTTCATTCCTCTGGAAAGTGGTGGTGATTGCCACCAGGTTTCCATACCGTCGACTGCATATTCTGGAGGATGCCTCTTTTCCGGATTGTCCACATCACAGTAATCGCATACCTAGATCATTATCAACAATATTTCTTCAATTTCCAAACTATATTAAATTCAAGCGCGGAAACAAGTGTTGGAACGAGAGGAATATATCGTCAGTCAATTAAGACATCGATAGTTGAGACAAATAAGCATGTATTCGCTATTCATTCAGAATCATTGTTATTGAGATGTATCAATATTTTACTATACATTTCTACGAGTCGCATATGTGTGTATTTAAATTGTAGTTCAATGACTTAACATCTTCGAGATCCCAATGACAGAGTTTTATAAATTTTTTTCTAATTAAATGTTCCATGTAATACACGATATGTTCGATTACAAAATGCGAATAATGATAAATCATTTTTAGCGATTTATACAAATGGATCGGATTCTTTTTTTTTTTTTTTTTTCTAAGAATCTTTGTAGGACAGTTCGGTCAGTTTGGCCGTTTGGAATTTGAAAAGACAAGATGGTCAAGTGTTATCAAGAGGTCACCCTTATCAGAAGCTCCTTATCAGCCCTCTCATTTCTAGTCTACATGGCACTTTCTTTCGCCCGCATAAGTAAGTAGAGATATACGTAATGTCATAAAGTCGAGCAGCCATTGACCATTTAGAGGCTCCCAGATTCATGAATCGTGCAATGGTATCAATTACTTCATGGCCAGCATGAAAAGCAGTGAACTATTAGAACGAATTGAGTGTAAAATGTACGCGAGAAGAGAGCTATTCTAAATAAGAAAATGTCGACCGATTGTTTTTAAATATTGCGCGACTATGAAATCGGTCATTTAATTTATTATTTCCTGCTTGATTAAGGGAACCCGGTTCTGTGATATGCTACCAAGAAACACAAAACGATCAACGAGCACCAACGATAAAATAGTCGGAACAAGTTCTTCATTGATTGCGGACCCACATATATGTTTTCAATGAATTTTTAAAAACATTTGCAACTTAGTGAACAAGTAGCGAATTTAATGAAACATCAGCTCAGAGCTATCTTGCACGATCTGCAAAAATTCTTTAGCTTGATATATCTATTATCAAACTGTCTTCTCATGTTAATGTTCAGGGGTAATTCTCGATGAAGAAGATTGCGATTATCCACTCAGATTACAATTAGAATTACCAGGTAGCATTACATCGACTCCAAGAAACCTTACTTTATCGTCACAGGGAATGTTATACGCAGACGAAATAAAATTTATTTTAATTCAATCAATTGCAAGCGATTTTTTATCGAAGTTGCTGTGACATTTTGCAGAATCTACTGATAACGATCGTTAGACATTTATGAATTTTTATACATTAAGAAAGTAATCATAAATTCTATTAGATTTATCGAAATAATTAGTAACATTAAATATTTTAAGTGATGATAAAGAAAACAGAGGTGAATTATACACACGTAATATGTTGTTTGTATGAATTACTGTTTAGTATTAGCAAGCCGATTAATGAAAGGCGTTCCTTCACGTATGATTTCATTCACGCTTCTATAAGCGATTAGTACGATCTTTTCTTATCGTAACAACGATAAGTTAACACGTGTGTATCAAACCTATATTTAAGCAACATATGAAGACGATAGAACATGATTGAACAAGTTAAAATTATACATTGTAATATTAAAAATTACAATGTACAAAGACAGACTACAATTTGTTTGATTCAAAATTTATAAAACCACTAAACTGTAGATAGGAGAAAAAGTAAGTTGAGTAAGCAGATGATTGTCTAAAGATTGATAAACTCTTGGACTCAAAGGACCAAAGTAGATAAAAATTAGTTCGAGACAGCAACATGGCTTATTCTATATATCAAGTAAATGATTCAAAGCAAGTGATACACGTATTTTTGATAAATATTAAATAACTTCAATAGTGAACGAATTACATCGAAGTAACTATAATAGTGTGGATTTTTGAAATTTGATGATTAAAATTCAAACTCGTTTCTTGGTTCTTAGTTTCACTTTACATTGCCACAAGATAATTTTTCATTCATAACTGAAATTAATAAGTAAATGGACAAACGAGACAAAAATGGAGCAAGTAAAAGAGATAAGCGATTTAAAGATCATTGTGGATCGCTGTGTTCCATGAAAGATATGTGGAAAAAACAGAAAAGACACGAGTATACCTACCTGACCCTGTATCAGATTAATGTCCTCGTGCTGATCAGCATTCGCGCCGACGAGCTTGCAATAGAGTTCCGGGCCGGGGGTGTCGACGCCACACGTGGCTGATGCGATGATCTCCTTTCCTTCGGCTAAATTGAAATACGGTGGCGTCAGGATTTCGTTTCTCGTTGGGTGGACCAGCAAGCTGGCCAACGAAGCGACCAGCAACCACCTCGCCATCCTGACAGTGGACAGATCGAGTCCGCCACCGTTGGCACTTCTGGTGGTTCGTCCTTTAACACGGCGTATACTCTCGAAACTACTCGCGGTCCCGACTATTCTCCTTCTCCCTTTCTGTTCTTTCCTCTTTCCCTCTGTCCCCCTCTCACTCTCGTTCCCTCTTCGGGAGAATGCGGCGAGAGAGATGCAAAGATGTTGATGAAGCCTGAGCGGCTTCTCGGTTTGGACTGACAGGCCGGAGGTCATCGAGGACCGCCGGTCTGTGGTAGAGGGGCAGTGGGGGTGGCGACTCTAGAAGGATGGTCCACACATTTCTAAACCATATGCCGTCCCGTACCCCTACATACGTGCATGCTGTTTCTGTCCAACAGTACACACTATTGTCTACTCTTTCTCGATCGTCGAACCACTTCGGTCACCACTCTGCATCTATTCGCCAGCGAACTAGAGGAATAACGTTCGTTTTGATTGAATTAATGATATTAATTTAAGGATAATTGTACAGAACGATTGACTCTGTTAGCCAGAAACGCATGATTTTCTTAATTTCACGCTTGGATTTCTGCTTGGGCTTGCAGTTTTAGGAAGACTTCTAAGCGATTAACGATTCTCCTTCCAAGAATTAGTTGCATAACATTTTTCAGAGAAGTCCAATTCGGGAAAACAACACATGATCGAGAGGGAAGTTGTAAATAGGATCTTCGATTGCATTTAATCTATTGGTAAAATTTTTTTATTCACTTTGAATGTTCACCTATGTACAATAAATAATGTACGCTTTTAGAATTAATGTTCGTTTAAGTTTATAAGTACATATTGCTATAGAGTTGCATTGTTTTTCATTGATAAATACCGAGGAAGAAGGACCACATGGCACATACATTTGACCAGATTCACAGCATTGTGTCGCTTTTGAGCATTTTAATCTCGTTTTACTCGATTCCATCTATAATAAATAGCGGAAAACATAATACTCGAACTCAAAATCACAGAGATGATAAAATTTCCTAGTAGTAAAATGTCTGCAGAATCCATCCATATGGTAAATACTCTCGCTGCAAACGAAAATTAACATTTTTATTGAAAAGCCATTAAGAAAGATCGACATTTTGTATTCATAACTTACTTAAGTTAGTAAATGCGGAAATAAACCAAGTAATCGGCGATACTGTGTCCGCATTTTTCGCCTGATAAATGGCCATTAATTGAACAATTTTGCTCGAGACAGAAATTGGGGTACACAATGGCTATCAATTATAAAACAAATTAATACATGACCATAAAATTAACAATTTTTTTTTTTAATTTATTGTTAATTAATTAACTAACCGCTAAAATCGTAAGAACGACTTTTGGGATAAGTTGCATTGCAAATGAAATACTTATGCTAAAATAAAGTATTGAGACTAGAATTGAGGATGTGTTTATTTTATTTAAATACTTTAAAACTAGGAATATTAAAATATATTCCTGTAATAAAATAACAGGATATTCCAGATAAGATAGTATTGAATAACCATTTGTAAAATTATAACTAGTCATCACAGTATAACTGAAATTCAAAATTTAGTTATAAAAAAAACATCAAAATTTTAAAATATATCTTAAATGGACTTACCTAGTCAATTCTAATAAAAGGCCTACAACTGAGATCTGATCTGCTGATTTAGCAGTCAATAAATTCAAAATCTGAGGAATCTTTAATATGAAACACATACCTATTGTTATAAGGCTCAAAAAATCTGCAAAATGTTGGAGCAACATTTTAAATTGTCTAATTTATGTACCTGCAAAATTATACATAATTATTTCAAATGCGCTTCCAAATTTATTTTTCTGTTACACGAAATTTGTTATTTATATAAAATAATAAATAATAAATAAAGAAAAATACTAAAAGGAAGATTTAAATATGAAATAAAAAATACGCAATAATCATTCCGAATTTACACTGGACACGTGATTTTAAAATATTTATAAAACAAATTTTGGCATTTTTACAAATTCTTTTAAATAATTTCATTTTACATTTCTTCATTAGATTTTAAAAAGCGAATGTTACGATAACATAAAATTATTTAAACTTGTTGAAATAAATTTAATTATTATTAATGTTATAACCTGTTTTTCAATATTTAATCATTAGTTAGCTTTTGTTTGTATAAAAACTGTCAGAGCGAATAACGCTGACGTATTTATGTACAACTATATGGATGTACATGTTAACAATTACATTGACAACCATTCACACACATCTGTGACATTTTTACTTCTTCTTACGTGATTATAGCTGCAGAAAATGCATGCACGTTAATTATAAATTAAAATTCGTAATTATCAGTCCGAAAACACGTCCACTCAACAACACGATAGCGCTGTCGATATTGTGTTTATCCGCATTTAGTGAATTTTCGTCTAGGAACTTTTTAAAACGCTTCATGTATGACAATCTGAAAAAAATTAATCAGAATATAGGAATAATGTAAAATGACTAAAGAATTAGAGAAAAATAGTAAATAATGGCACCAAGAGTAATTAACATGTAATATTTGAAAAGTAAAACATGCTGAATATTTGATATGTATAATATTTCTACTAGTATATTGCGATACTTTCAAAACTAATCAAAATTAGTAGGTTCAGACATTTGCTTTAACTTCTCATTAATTGTAAGTAAAAAGAATTCTAACAGCTTTTCATATTTTTATTTGGTAACTTGTACAGACGAACGCAATTTCACGTTAAAAGGAGAAAAATTATATTTTATTTGCGAATGTTGGTCATTTGAAGACGTATGACTAACTACGTACGTAAAATCATTTCGAATTGTGCAACCACATTGGTGGCTGCAGTTCCTCCTTTTGTGAAATGCATCGTCGATCCCGGAAAGTACTCGAATAGAACTCTTCCTCGGCATGACAGACGGAATGTGGGAACGGAACTGACATGGAGTAAACTGTAACGTGAAGGACTTGCGTTTGTCTTTTAAATATTGATTTGTCTGTCGAACGAACATTATGTGACAACGATGAACATTTCTCTGATATTTTGCTTCGTTGACAAATATTACGTGAATGCGATCGAGTTGCGAGTAACCTAGCATAAGTACGTAAAATCCACTTTTAACTTTCGAAACGTCAAACGTCCACTACTATCTACGACGCAAACATCAACCTTGCCGGGATATTAAAGTGCTCGTTGTACGGCATGCACCTTGATCAAGATATTTCGAATATTTCGCACAATATATAGCCAAAAGATGAATCATACCAGAGGATACCTTAATTTTTGTCTATACTACGTCAACGTGGGTCTAAATTTCTTTATAAAGTGATATCAAGACATATTGTTTTTTTATGTCATATATCTTTTGACAGTACTTATACTTCTCGTAAGAATATCTTCGTCTGTGGATTCTTTGTATTTCATGTATGCTCGTGCTGTTTAATTTTTTGAAAGAAAAAGTTTATACGATTTATAGACGAAGGTTAAATATTAAAGATTTATGAAATGTGAGTGTATATGTGTATGTGCGTGTGTGTATGCATGTATGTATGCGATACATTTCGGTGCATTTAAAATATAATATACTTTTTCAAAGGATAAATTTTTGTTTAGATAATGTAATAACATTAAACAAGTATAGTAAACAAATGTAATCATTTATTCGAATCACAGGAGAAAGATTTATGCCAGATATATTGCTGTAAATGCAGGTGTAAATTTAGATTATTCTAATATAAATTTGTTTTAAATGTCCTTTCAGTTTCGTATTCATAATGGACCATATGAAAAGTACAAGTACTTATGTAAACATGAAGATCACGAGACATTCGCGCATTGCTTGTAATTGCTATTTTCAGGTAAGAAATTCAATTTAATTGAGAAACTAATTTAATTAAATTTTTCCAATTAAGATGAACAGTTTACAATTAACTGGTCGTATTGAAAAAAATTAAATTTCACTATAATCTTATAGGGGACAATGTGGAACTTCCAAAAATTTTGGCTACTATAAATTTTTTAGCACATAAATAAATTAAAAGTATTGAGATGGACTCTCCACCGTCATGTTCACTAAGCGCTACTGGACCTCTCAGTGATCTTGGTAGCAGTGGAATTGGAGGGTCCATTTCTAGCGATTCAGTTCGAGCGCATCTTGCAATCGAGGTATAATTCATATAACATTGATATTTCTGTGCATTGTATGTACTAAACATATATAGTGCCTTTTGAATTGAATGAATAATTTATTTTTGTTTTAGATGCAAGAAAGCGATATAGAAAGTAAATCTTTATCGCAAGATTCTTTTGATTATTCAGATGGTATGTGTGGTGAAAATTTTAATACATTGAAAAAAGGACCAGGATGGACTGATGCTGATGGAAAACTAGAAGTCGAAGTGGTTGATGTAGCTATTAAACCTCCACCAGAATTTCAAGATAGCCCTTCTCCTCCTAACTCTGAATCTTCATCTGCACCGATTCTTAGCTATGCACGATTAATGAGACAAAAAGTTCCACAATTAATAGATGATTATGCTGAAAATTTAGTACAGTCAATGATTGAAGAAGCACTAATAATATCTTGTAGAATATCATGGCCAGAAGGAAGAATAGCACCTGCAACAAATCATGTACCAGTGGTAACACGTAGTGTATATAATCCGAAACGTTTTTGGGCAACAGATTTGTTGACACCTTCTTCATGTCAAGGAGCTACTACTTTAATTACTCCGTATAGTACTTTGAATCGTCCAAATTCACGATGTTCTTTAGCTTCTTCTCGTTTGTCCAGTTCTCATAATTCAATAAATACCTCAGGACTGAGTCACAAAGTGGATGACAGCAGTTTTATCACCTCTGCTATGTCACACGATGTTTTAACGACCAGTGAGATTAGTGATATGTACAATGTGCCCTTTGATTCTGACATTTATACTGTACCAATAGATGTAGTTAGACCTTTGCATGATCTTAGAACACCGCAAAGGCCTAAACGTCACAGGCATCATCGCAAAAGAAGAAGAAATGTATCTGCTAGTTCGCAGAGTGAATTAGAAGCCCATATTCAACAGGCAAGGCATTATTGTGGAAAACCTCGTGCTATTACCCACGTTATAAAATCACAAAGACTATTATCCGATGTATGCTGCAATGAAACTGGAAACGGAAAGCGTCATAGCGTCCCTGGTACATCTGGTCGCCATACGTCTCGAACAACTAATGGTCACATGCACAATATCGGTGAACCAATTCATATGACTTTACACGAAGTGCGTCAATATTTGCAAACACTATACTCAAGCTCCAGTGATTCTAGTGAAAATAAAATTAAACGCGATAATAAAGCTCCAATAAGTCATACACCTATACACCTTGCAATGCCAAAAGGTATTAGTGTAAATAATAACAATAGATATAGTAACCCGCATACAGATTCAGCGATGGATACTCCGATTTCAAACAAAAATAGCAATGGACTGATTCACAATAACAATAATAATAATAATAACAATAACAATAATAATAATGGTAACGTTAAGAAACATAAAAAAAATTCGTTTGTTAGTATTAAACATAAAAAGGTAAAAGATGAACCACATAAGGAGAAAGTTGATTCTGAAAGAGAGAAGATTAAGAAGAGTCAACGAAATTTCTCATTAAATTTGAAACAAACACTTTGCAATATCTTTAGATTCAGGCGTTTGGGTTCTCCGGACCATTTCGTAGAAAAAAGAAATAGCATTGTACAGGGTGAAATTGTAGAAGAAGAAGAGGTTGATTCTGACCAACATGCTAATAATAATAATACTACCTCAGAGGTAGATTCCTCTGTACAAAAGCTACCTTTTTTTAAGCGTGCACTACCTCCATTACCGAAAAGCAATGGACATGTAGGAGGTGTGGAACAAGCGGAAGATGCGCTTACAACAATGGTATCTAAATGTGAAAGTCCAACTTCTATACCACCACAAATGCCACCACCTGCGCCAAAAGTTGAAGACGAACCAGCAGAGGATACCAGTATGGATTTTGCTGCTAGTATTGAAAAAGTAAAAGATGTATGTAATTTATATTTTTATTTATTTACTTTTTAAAGATACAATATGTTCAATATGAAGATATGTTATAATTATTCAATTTTATTTATAACAGTATGGATGGTATTGGGGCCCAATATCTGGTGAAGCTGCAGAGAAAATACTGTCTAATGAACCAGATGGGTCATTTATTGTACGAGACAGTAGTGATGATCATTATATTTTTTCTTTATCATTTAGACTTAACAGTTGTGTGCGACATGTAAGAATAGAGCATGATCAGGGTAAGTTTTATGTTTTTATTAATGTAATCTTTTCTAAACCATTATTTTTTTTTTACACAATTTTAATATTTTGTATGTCGTGTATATAGGTAATTTCAGCTTTGGAAGTTGCACAAAATTCAAGTCTCATACAATTGTTGACTTTATTGAGAATGCGGTAGAACATTCACGTAGTGGACGATATTTGTTTTTTCTTCATCGGCGGCCAGTGTTAGGTCCAATGCGTGTGCAACTTCTTCATCCAGTATCAAGATTTAAACAGGTTCAAAGTTTACAGCATACGTGCAGATTTGTTATTTTGAAGATGGTACGCAGGGATCTTATTCCCACTCTACCTCTGCCTCGGCGGCTCATTGATTACCTGAGTACGCCCCATTACTACAGTGAACAATTAGCTGAACAAGATGATAGAGCTGAATCTCCTGTTAGTTCTTCAACTGGTGAATTAGAGAAGATTTGTTTCACACCACAAGGCCTATCGTGAGGTACAAATACATAATATTTTGTCCTTCATTTTTGTGAAATACTTGCCAAATGTTTAGTACGTATGGTTTAAAATTTAAGATGTTACACAATTTCGTTCCATATGATTTTATTAAACAATATAATTAAATATGGGAATAACCGATTTTTACATATATTATATATTAATTTAAATTTGAAATATAAAATTTTAATATCTAATTGAAAAGAAGGGTAATCCGTTCCACGCAGTTCGTATATAATACAATATAGTTAATTGCATAAAAATACTTAAACAAATTGTAAAAATTGAAGGTAAAATTACTTCAAAGAGATAATTTTCAATCAGAATTCACATTGACATAATTGAAAATGCACAGATAAATTGATATTAGAGCTTGAATTTATGATTTTTTAATTTTATTGTGAAATAATTTCGAAAATACAATAATCATTCAATAATCTCAAAAAAATTCTATGTATCAGTCTTAATTTAAGTTTTTTTATTTTAAAATATCTTTACAAGTTCACACGATGCAATAAATTTATAATATTCATATATAATGATGCAAAGCAGTGATCGAATAACTCCTTCTTGCGTGCCATATACCTTATACTACTCTTTTCATCTCTTTTCATCAAGCATTGAAATCATAATGTTTTTATTGGATTTTAGTTAAAAATTATGTTTTTGCCAGAGATTATTCAATTATATATTTGACTATTTTCTATAAAATTTTAAAATATGTGTTTTAATATAAATAGAAAGAATATGAATATAATTAATCTACATCCTACATTTGACGTTCCATTTTATTGAATGATCAATATAGAGTCAATAAATAATTTTAAATATGATGGACGTGCAAACAATTATGAAAAGATGCTGTAGGCTAATATTATATTAAGATATAATCTGGCATATATAAAAATCAGTTATGTCTGTTAACTGTAGAAAATTTCAATATTAATCAGTTCAACATGTTGTTATATCGTGTTTTAAGTTTAGAAGTAGCTACCACAGACTGATTAACTTAGACAAAATATTCAACGAATTAATGGAATCATAATATAGTATAAATATTTTCACTCGAGCATCAATCGTATTTTTTCGCAAATTGTTATTACAATCATTTTCAAGAATAATCTTTGGATGGAATACGTTATTTTAGATTGCTTTATAATGTAAATATTTTTATGTGCATTAGTTGATTTTATAGAATAATTAAATTGTCAGGAATTTATTAATGTCTGGCACATTAGATATATATATTTTGTGATTCTTTAAGTCTATAAAGGATAATTAATATATGATGTGCAATTTTTTAAATGTATTATACTTGTTTCCATTTTTTATAGTCAATTTTAAAATAAGATTTAACGATATTTACCTTGAAAGGGTAAAAAAATTCTTTGTTAAAACTGATTAGCGACTGGTGCTATATAAAATTATAAATTATAGAATTCTGATTCCTTAAATTATACAGTTGAATCAAGCTAATCGAAGTCACTGTTTATTCTTGTGCTCAGATAAACTTAACAAGATTACATCGTGCAATGCACTTAAACGAATTTAGTTATATCATGTATTTAATTTTTTTCTGTAAGTAGTAGTTTTATCTATATAAATTATTTTGTTTGATTCGGATAAAATTCCCGAAACTTATATTCTTGAATTATATTTTATTTGCAACCATTACATAAATTTTAGATTATAACTTAATACTAAGAATTAATATAAATCAAGTGAAAAGTTTTCAATTTACAATTTCGACTAACCAAATCGAAAAGTAGAAAGGAGCTTCAGATAAAATTTAGTAAATTGTAATAATATATATTTTTATTTTTGTCCCTTTCCTCTGAAGAGGTATGTAATCTCATCTTCAGAAACAGAGACATTACTTTGATAAATTTTGTATTCTGTAATGTTATACAGAGCTCACTATGAAGCATTGATATAAAGATAGATTTTTCAAGGAAGGAGAAAGTTTTTATACAAAATATGTACCGACTGTTATTCTAGACAAATTAATTAACGAATCTTTGTTTTATTTTATCTTTAAATTGCTTTTCCTGTGCAGCTTCATGAATCATGGAATAGCAAGGGCCACATATACATATTGCTCAGAAATTTTGGTTGCACTTTCGTGAACTTTGCAGTACTAAATAAACAAATTTTATACTCAATATTCACGTGGTAGATTTTGCAATACAATTACTATTACCAGATTATCTGAAAAGACTATGTCTAAGGATAAATCTAAACATATGTGAAGCATGTGCGTATAATTAATGGTTAAAGGCACCATAATACCTCAGCCACAGTGGGAGGTATATAGAGCAGAATTAGTACCATTTTATAACAAATGTATTTTACATTAATATAAGTTGCACATATGTATTCTTGTGAAGAAATTAGCATTGAAGAATATCAATGCTTTATTTAATTATGTTTTACTACTATTAACATTAATATTAAGAAAAAATATGAAACTTCTATGCCAAGTGTTATTGTATAATAAATATGTTTAAAAGATGTTTTTTTATGTGATTATATATAAATAAGTGTGACATTGAATAACAGCTTTGTATTTTTATAATGCCTCTCCAATGAGGATATGTAGAAAGTATTAAATTTAATTCTACATTTTTGATATACTAAAATGTGATATTATTATAATATATTAAAGTTTGCAATTGACTGTACATTTTCAAGACAAATCATCAATTAAAATATTCTTGAAAAATATTCTTTTAAATAGGGGATCTTTAAATCTGATTATGAAAATGTATAGCTCAATTTAATATTTAATTAGAAAATTATAATAACAAATTTTTTATAAAACAGAAGAAAATGCACTTGGCATAGAACAGTAATTTATTTCTTATATGCCAAAGTCTATAATTGTATTCAAAGTATAACATTGATTTATAAATTAAAATATTCTGTTAAAACATAATGTGTTGTATATGCGTGTTTTAAATATTTTTCTTTATGAAATATTAGTTATGTATTATTTTAGAATTTGATTTATTATATATATATATTATATTTGGTTTTATAAAATTGTGTAAAAATAAGTAAATGTATGCAAAAAGTACCATAACAAAAATAGGAAAATTAAAAAATTACTTGAGTTATATTTCTAAAAAAATATGCAATGTTGTACTTTGATTATAATGTACTGATACAATTTTTTATTATTGTTTATTATAAATTATTGACAACTGCTAGTCACAAACATTGCGTTTTAAGTTGGAGTTCAGTATTGTTTACTAATAAATATCAATTTACTTCCAATATACTTGTATTTATTTTTTTATCTTTTTCAAAGATATAATCCAAACATAATTTAATAGAAAAAAATGCTAAATCTATGTATGCTCTTTGTTGTTACTTTAATAAGAGTTAATTGTACTTTTTAAAACTATAATTCTACATTCTTTAATTTATTTATTCTAGTCTAATATAATTTATCACCAAGTTCGATGGTCATTAGAGTGAAGGATGCATGATAATCAGAAACCTATTATAAATCTTTTAATTTTGTAAATATTTAAGGTAATACAAGGTATGCTTTTAAACATGCACAACAGGAGTGTGGATGATTCATTGAAACTTTAAGATAAGTGTACTACACTACAAGAGAAAAATAAAACCTTTGTTTACTTTTGTGACAAAAATTTAAGTTTATGTTTTTAAAAATATCCTACTTTTATAAATCTTTTCATCTATAAATAAGTTTCTATAATTTGTAACGATAACATTAATTTTATTATAAGTTTTAAATGTACAAATTTTGTTATACTCCAAAAATATCTATAATGTATTCATTTAAAATGATGCTTCAACTTCTTTTTGTAAATATTTTTCAATATTACAATAAAATGATTCAAGAGAAAATTGTTTCCTATTAAATATTTACTATTTCCGTAATTGTAATACAAATAATTCGCACAATTCAAATTTTTCATATCTATGAGCACAAGAAAAAATTTTTTTCATTACTTTATTACAGTTAAAGGTACTAAGTATAAACAAATGTGTATGTATCTGATTACCCATGTTTGTACTGCAATGTTGAAAATAAAATACATTTTTTAAGACTAATGTACTGCGTTATTAATTTGTCTTTAATTCCGTAGTTTTATCACTATTACACATAATTGTAAAACATGTTTGTAAGTACATGTCACATTTTAATAAAATTTTAATTTAAACATAATATATATTTTGCATCAAATCATATGACATTTTAATTACAACTTTATCTTCAATTAAATATTGAACATCTTAATTTAAGGTGGGATACCAAGTGTTTTTCTAACTAATTTTTGGGCAATTCTTTCAAATTCTGAGCGATCTTCTCTCCACATTTTAGCAGCATCAACATTTGCTCCACTTTCATCATTTGGTTCTGCTAACATACTTACCACACTCAACAATATTTTCTCTACACTCTGAACTGGACTCCACCTTTCTGCACTACTTTCATAGCCCATAGGATCATCACCAGGTGCATGTAATATACTTATACATACTCTGCCATCTGCATAAACTAAAGAAAAGTAAATAAAAGTTAGTTTTTAGAGGTTCATCAAGAATCAATTTAATGTTTCAGTAAAATGGAAATCTTACTATTTGGATGAAACATCTCACAAGTGAATTGCATTTTTGGTGGACTTAAAGGATAATCTGGTGGAAATATAAGCTTTGCTGGAAAAACACCACCTTCGAAACATGTTCCTTCTGGTCCACTGTAAACAAATGTTAATTGTTTAATATGTATGTTACAGATATACATGCAAAGTTTAAATTATATTTATAATCATAGAGTTAAAAACAAAAAGATAAAAATATAAGGCATTTCGTTGCAAACATGTTATAAACAGAAATCAATTTTCACAAGCGAAGAAAAACATTTTTATAAATAAGAAGAATCAAAAATTATTCAAATACGTACGTGATTAAGGCTTCCCATTCGAAAAAATTTTCTTCATTTATTGGACCAGCAATAATACCTTCAGGTGGATTTAAGGTTAACTCTGCAAAAGATGCAGTGCTCATTATTCTATCGTTTAAAATTGGTCAGAAAAAATAATAAGGGAGAATGTTTTATACGGTGTCTATAGTCAAGTGTGAATTGCATAAAATTAAATTTGATTCTCACGCTTATACTCTGCCATTAATCGTCTCAGTGCAGAACCCGCCATTGTTTTGGTCGTGCGGGTTAACGACGTAATTAAATGAAATGTTAAAAATTGGATATTAAGTTGAAGTAATAGAAAGAATTATTACGCATTTGTATTTATTTATTTTGTAAAATCAAGAAGACAATTAACAGAATTTCATACTGTACTTAAGTAAAATAAACCAATGCCAGCATAAAGTTTCGAATGGCAACAGAAGAACATAAATATTTAGCAAATATTATAAAAAATACACATGCCACGTTGCGACAAGAAGCTCAGAATTATGGGCCAGAGATTGCATGGAAACGGCACACATGTCGTAAAGACATATTACAGGTTTGATTTATTTTTAAATATTACTTCCAGATATTATTTCCAGATATTAAGATAAACTAAGACTAGTAGTACATAGAATAAAGATATTGTAGGATAACCTTATAAATGTGTGTTTTAGGAATATGCCTCCTGTATGCAGAAATTGGCAACTACACATTGGATGCAAAATAACATAAACACCAAAGGTTCAACATGCTCCAGAATAGAATGGATCAAATTTCAGTGTGAAGAGTATTTTTTAAATGAAGGAAAACAAAAATATGATCTAAAGGAGGAAGATATCAAACTGAAAATAGATGCAAATTTTACAGATACTGAAGTTGCTATAGATTATGATGTAAATATTAAACATAAGAAACCAATTCAAAAGATATCACTGTTGGATGCAGGTAGTTGTTATAATCCATTTAGGGCTTTTGACATATTTGAGGTAATTGCAATAGATCTGAATGGCATACCAGACAAAGTTTTTTGTTGTGATTTTTTAAATGTTCAAATTGGACAAGAATTGTCTGTGAGTAATGAACAAGAAATTTTGCAATTGCCTGAAAACTACTTTCAGGTAGTTGTATTTTCTTTATTTCTGGAATATTTACCATGTCCAAAACAAAGATATTTATGTTGTAAAAAAGCTTATGATTTATTGCAATTTGGTGGTATATTTTTCATTATAAGTCCTGATTCAAAATATGTTCATGCGAATGCTAAGTTCATGAAATCGTGGAGATACATTCTGAGTAAATTAGGATTTATGAGAATAAAGTATGAGAAATTGCACCATATACATTGCATAATGTTCAGAAAATGTGTGTTTAAACAAGTTGCAATAAGGTGGGCGAATTTGCAAATATTACCTCAGAACGATCCTTTATTTTTAAATGATACCTCAATTTATATTCCGCAAGATTTCCGAAAAGTATCTAATGAAATTAAAAAACAAGAAAAACAAGAATACGATACAAACGAAGTAATGACTATGTTTAGTGAATTACCTTTCGAACAAAGCTACGAATAAAATTAAGGATAAAAAAATAAATATCAATTTTTTTAACTAGTTTTGATAAATCTTATTTTTATTTTTCTTATTTGTAGTTTTAATTTAAATATTTTGTAGTTATTTTTTTGTTACATGTTACATAGGGATATTTGTGAATTCCATAATTTCCTAGAATTTATCTCGTCCATTTTGTACGCCATTTTGAATGTTCTTTTCTGATTCCTGTTCGTTAGTCGCACACGTGGTGAGTTCATTTTTGTCCTAGTATCTGTATATTGTATTTTTTATTTATTGTAACATTTAACAAAGTAAGTTGATAAAGTATTCTATTGAAAGAAACTAAAGAAATTAATACTTAAATTAAATTGAATTGAACAGAAAATGTTTTATTTTCTTTAATCACTACATAGGTTAACGTACAGATGCCAATTTTCGTATTTATGTGTACATATAAATAAAATTAATATAAACATTTTAATATATGTATATAATTTTTTCAGATCATTTACAATGTCGTCCCATTTGAATTGGATGATTATTCGCAATAATAATGCATTTCTTCTAAAGAAACGCAACATTAATAAGCCGTTTTCTACGGTTTGTGTTACATTATAGTACTACAAAATAATTTTTTTTCTAGAATTAATGACTTCTGTGGAAAATATATAATTTAATGTACGATATAAAATTCCAGGAATCCAATAATTTGACTAATTTGAGTAGTTATCGTTACTCGGGCTTGATTCATAGGAAAAGTGTTGGTATTGTTGATACGCCTGACAAAAAAGGATTTACTGTAGTGTATAAAAAAGCTAAAGCTATGAACAAGCCTGCAAAAGCTACAGTTAGATGTACAATGAAAGCTGGAGCTCGTCGTTCTTTGTACAAATTGAAAAGATTGCTTACAAAGAACAAATATCGTGTAAATCTTACAAAGGTAAGTGAATTCAAAAATAAAATTTATTTATGATTTGTTGAAAGAATTTTTAATACATATAGTAATATTTTTAGGTTGCACTACGTCGTGCTAGTGCTGTATTACGTTCTCAAAAGCCTTTACCTGCTAAGAAGACCCGTACAACTAAGAAGGCTGATTAATTTGTGTACTAATAAATATTTTAATCTAAATTTATGGATTTATGGACATACTATAAAGAAGATTTATTAATTTATCATTTTTATTTAAGGTATAATTAATTTAGTTACCTGTAATAATTACTATTTTTTATTGAAAAAAACATAGATTGTGTATTATTATATATACAATGCAATGCAATATTATAACAGTTTTAATTGTGGTATTTCTTCTTTGTAACTATGTCCATTACATTTATTAAAAAATTCCTATTAAAAAGATTGCATAACAAGCGTAAAACAATTGTATAAAAGATGAATTATTTAATTTGTTATACATATGTTTTGAGTGATATTGATATTTGTTTTAATTTCAGACTTAGTACATGTACATTGGAAAGTCATTTTTATATAGGTGAGTTACATTGATTTTCTATTTCGATAATTTATATATTTTACAAATGATGATAATTTTAACCACCAAGATCTATGAATGCCATGATTAAATTTTGTATTTGCTATCTGAAGTATAGTTAAGATTTTCAATTATATAAATTTAAATAGCAATGTTATTAACATTAACAATGTTTTTAGATTTAAATACGAATATAATTGGTCATTTGCAATATTTCAACCCAGTGAGTATTATTTTTAAATATCATATTAGTTAGCTTTTTCTATAAAGAAGTATGATGGAATTTTTTATCACCAAGATCGATGAGTGCCATGATTAAATTTTGTATTTGCTATCTGAAGTATAGTTAAGATTTTCAATTATATAAATTTAAATAGCAATGTTATTAACATTAACAATGTTTTTTAGGTTTAAATAATCATTGGTCACTTTGCAGTATTTGAATTCAGTGAGTATTATTTTTAAATATCATATTAGTTAGCTTTTTCTATAAAGAAATATGATGGAATTTTTTATCACCAAGATCGATGAGTGCCATGATTAAATTTTGTATTTGCTATCTGAAGTATAATTAAGGTTTTCATTTATATAAATTTAAATAGCAATGTTATTAATATTAACAATGTTTGTAGGTTTAAATGTCATTGGTCACTTTGCAGTATTTGAATTCAGTGAGTATTATTTTTAAATATTATATTAGCTTTTTCTATAAAGAAATATGATGAAATTTTTTATCACCAAGATCGATGAGTGCCGTGATTAGTGTAGTATTTGCTAACTGATTAATTCGTGATAAAAATAAACTCTAGGAAAAGATATAGAATTATATTTAATATATTTTGTATTTTTTTTTTATAGATGGGATCTAAAGACAAAGTTAAATTAACAAGAAAGGTAAGAAATTTTTTTGTTTACTGATTTACTAAAATGTACATATTATTCATCTGTGATGATTCATAGTCACCAAGATCTATGAATGCCATGATTTTGAATTTGCTACTTCTGAGAGTTCGTTTAATTTAATTATGATCTTTATAAAAGAGAAATAGAAAAAAATATATGTATCTTTTCTTGTGTGCAGGTTAACGATCGTGCAAGGACAACGGATATTTTTAGCTTGGTATTGAAAAATAAAAAAAAATACGTATAACAATTCAACATATGTTTATCATACATGTACTGAATAAATATAAATGATAATTATAGCTTTTTTTCCCCTTTTTCCTCTTCCAGATTTGTTGTGCGTGATACCAGCTTTATCAATAGAATGAATTTGAAATAAGACGATTCTCAGCCTTCTGTGGATTTCTAGAAAATGGATTAATTATGTAAAAAACGTATCTAAATCTTTTTCAAGAGACTAAGAATGCATCGGACGTAGCAATATTAAATTTCGAAATAATGACTAAAATGAACTTGTCTTGATCTGTGCAGACTTTAAGAGAGTATGTTCAATTTCTTTGGCTGGAATACAATTGCAGTTCATTCAACTGCACAAATTTATTTTATTTACTAGTACTTAATTATTAATTGAAGGCTTTTGTCTTTTTTCATGCAGCCTAATTAATGAAATGTTACTAAATGGAATTAACAGACTTTAATGGCACAATTTCATATTATCCTCATTCTATATATCATTTCTATTTATACATATACATATATACGATAGATAATTCTAAATATGTATGCATAGTAAATTTTTAAAATCCTGATTTAATTTGAAATTCGTCGCATATGATTTAAATCTTTCAATAAATTTGATTTTATCTCCTATAATTACTCGAGCTGATTTTTAAGTGATTATGCAAGAGATTTGTCTGATTTCACGTTAGAAAGATTATTAATTTAAGGTAGTACAATCCTAATACATTAAGATATTAATACTTATACCGATAAATCGAATTTTTTATTTTAATATTTTACAAATTTTAAGTTCTCTGATATTCAAGAATTTTTCATAGGTTGATAAATAATTGTTTAGTGCATTCGTAAAAATAAACTGCTGTTGATTTTATTTTTTTTTAAATTGGTGTGAATAAACGCAGTCTAGTAGTTAGCTTTATTAGTAAGTTCTTACCAATCTTGGTCTATTTGGTACAAAATTAAAGAAGCAAATGCAGCGATTAAATATCAAGTGGTAGCTAATTTTAGTAGATTGTTTGGAAACGATTAGAATTTCTTCTTTATTATTCTTTAAATAATAACTAGAAGCTTGAAATTAACGATTCCTTTTTTTTAAACAGTGTCATTCTCATTTCCATTCGTACAGATTCTTTTTACTTATCATCGTAAAAAACAAAGCGTTCTATTACCATTTAATTGAATAAGAGAATTTGGAAGTTTCAAAAAATGGACACTTTAATATCCTTTTCCTCCAAGATTCGTATAATTTACTGGGATATTTCTACAACGAATTTCTACAAAGAATTTCAATTTCGTCAACCGACGGTGGTGGCTGCATGTTTAATACTTATTCAATATCGGCTTAATATTACATCGGCTTAATATTAGCATTTTATTAACGTTGGTCACGAGCGAAATGGGTCTTTTGTTCGAGACCTCTCGAAAGAAAATAGTTTCCTAAGTTCGTATTAGTGTTCATGTTTTATTAAAAATCCTCTTCGATGTTAATCGAATTCGTTCGTGATTCTTTCAAACATGTTCGACGAGGAGTCGAACTCTTTGTTTGCTTGCTTCTATCGAGATCTTTCGAAAGAAAGGTATTTCTCGGAGGAATTTAATATTCCACGCAGCGATTTCAAGGACGATTTTTGATACTGGTAACAAACATAGAAGTTTAACCCTTCTTGAAACTTTCGAAGTTCTTCAGACTCGAATCTTTGATCAGTAGAACTTCATTTCCCAGGTATAAGAAATATCGAAACGATTTCTATTATCTTTCAATCTCATAATAGGCAGATTCAGCTGCGGCATCACGTACTGTCGAGGCTGGAAAGTTAGAAAGAGAGTGTATCATTTTTTTCTTCTTTTTTCATTTCACCCCTGAGGAGAGTTTAACGAGACACTACTTTTCATAATTCGAGGAAGGAACTCTATCGTTTTTCCGGCGAGGAGCGCGCGCGAGCCTCGATCGATTTTCTTAACCGTCTTTTCTCCCGTGCCTTGAAGCTGCCTCTCGGCCGCAAAAGAAAGAAAATAAGGCTGCAATGACAGAAGGTTTCACGGTGGGGCAGACACTGCCTGCCTGCCACGAGCACTTCCACCCTTCTACCCTATAGCAAAGAGTATCCGGGCCGTGAGAACGACGAGGATGGACGGTCGATTCGCGAGAAAAGGATGGAACAGCGAAATGACGATAGAGACATAGAGATAAAGAAAGTGTGAAGAGAGGAGAAATGGAGAGAAGGAACGAGAAGAGGAGGACGAACGAAGATGTAAGTACTTAAGGTGGAGTGCTTGGAGAGAGAGAGAGAGAGAGAGAGAGAGAGAGAGAGAGAGAGGGAGAGAAAGAGTAAGAATTGGAAGGGGGATAAGAATCGGAGGAAGGAAGAAGGAATGAAAAAAAGAAGAAAAGGGTGGAGAGGTTAGGCGGCTCTCTCGTAGACGAGGAAAAAAGGAAAGAATCATGAATAATGCAAGAGTGAAAGCCGGTTGAAACAATTGCTGGGCGTCGCCCTACTCTTGAAATTACATCATCAGATTTTCCGCGAAATTAAAACATTATATATTCCACGCTCTCCGTTCTCTCACCATGGCCACTCATCTTCTTTCCTTGGACATTATGCTTCTGAAGTCCTTTCCTACCGTGAGCAGACGAAAAGCGTCGATTATACGGTCATGCGATGAGACTGCGATATTACCTCTCTGAGAACCATCTCGAATATCTCTCAGAAAAAAAGAAAGCCACGATTTCGCTCAACAACGTAAATTAGATCGTTCCTTGTTGGTGGCCGGGAAAAAAAGTTGCCCGAGATAAAATGCGTTATATTATACGTACGCATTTAGTCACTCGCAAATGGCACGTCACGGTTTACCTGCGTTTATGCGGTTTAATATTTAGCTGTGCATTTATGTTAATATATTTAAATCAAGATGAACCTTGGAATTTCGCGTATAAAAATATAGTGGGGATAAAATGCGACATCGGATTTCGCTTCACCGCGAAAGATTAATGTAAGTAGGAAATGAAGGCTAAAAAGATGTTGAATTACGGTGTCATAAATTTGAAATGGCGTTTAATGTTTGCCATCACGAGTTTCAATGATAAGTTTTATTCGAGTGATGATGCAGCTTGAAAGAAAAAAATTATACGTATATTTTTTTTTTTCTTACTTTTTTTCATGGTGAATCGTAAACAGGACTTTTACAACTCTACCTCGAAGTGTCCCAGTCACGCGACACTTTGAACGCAATTTAGCAAAGAATCCTAAGTAAGTTAAAGATAAGAATTTTCCTCTAACTAGTATTATACTAGATCTTCGTACTTTGCGGTATTCTGATGCCGCGGCTCCGAAAACTTTCTGCAAATATTAAGCGATCCGCGCCTGAAGGTGTGGAAGTTCCTTAGGCTATTAGAAAGTTTTCCAGCTACGTGGCTCGATTTGTGGCTGTTTATCGTTCTCGAACGTTCAGATATATCTCCAATTCTTCGCGGTTTAAGGATGCCCAACTTGAGCAGTATTTTCAACTTGGAGAGTCTTGATCTTCGATTCACGGTTCGATCGGTTTCGCTTTGAAAACGAGTTCTACGTAGAAACTAACGATGATTGAAACGTTGAATACGAGAATTCGATTTGGAGGATTCTAGATGGCGAAGAAAAAAGACCCACGTGAAATTTCCATAAGTCGCGATTTACGATGCGTATATTTTCTTCGTCAGTTCGGCAGTTTTTCGCGATCATTTCGATCAGAGGAAAATAATGATCATAAAATCCACAAAAATGTGTAAAAGAATTTTAAACACGGCCAAACAAGATTTTGTAAATTGTGCGCTTTCAATGCATAGATAATATTTAGAATATTTAGATTCGGATGACGTAAAAAAAAAAAATCGTTGTAAAAATTATCCGTCTGCATGCTTTTTTTGCAAAGAGATCATTAAAATGTCATGTCATCGTAAATGACACATCTTGTCGTGATATATGCACATTTTTAACTAGAGAATCTACGAGATCTCTTCCAAGTAATTTAAATATTGATTTATTTTTTCATACTAATAAAACGAGGAAATGAGAAATATGAATTATAAATGATGTTTTTCAATCCTGGAGGAGGGATTCTCAGACGTTTACGACGAGCAAAAGCTAATATAGTTTTATGGACTGATTGGGTAGAATTGTTACCTGCGATTTGATAGAAATACAATGACGTTCATGGGACAAGTGTTGATCTGTTGTTTATATAATGGAGCGTTTGACTAATCCTTTCAATCGTGCTATTACGATTATTGACGTTATTAATTAGACTAGAACTAGCGTGTGGCTTCAGTAATGAACTAAATACTACAATATTCTACTTGTACTCTTAATTTTAATATGAATAATTCACGGCGGTGTATTCGTCGGAAAAGTATTATATTCTATGTATCATCGAACGTTGATTCTTTGTAGCATTCGCTAACAAAGATTCGGCGTACAATTGGAAATAGGGAGTGTTGTTGATTCTTGTTGAAAATGGTAGATGAGTTTCTTGAGTGTCCAATCTTTTAAATCTTCTGGGCCTCATTGGCCAATAAAAATTTGTTGAGTGATTATTACATAATTTACATATTTTTTTTATCAGTTCTATGTACTCTATATTATTTACGACGATTGATTAGAAAAATATATTTATATTAATTAAAAGAAATACGAAAATTTTTAATGAGAACACTGAGCTTGTTTTTTTTTTCTTAGATATCATTCCATCAATATCTGGTTTGATGCAGGTAGTAAAATTTTTCTTCTTATTTTATTGTTTATCGTGTGCCTTATATAGGAAAAGATCTGTTCTGATATAAGTACTCCTCAAAAGGGACATGTTCGTGAAGTGCTGAATATTTTTCTTCAGGCAGGTGTAGTTTGTAAGAGTTTAATAAAGATACTTGGAAATAAAGTTTTCCTTGAGTTGTATATCTGATTGCAACTCGATACACTCCATTTGCATGTTCGCTGGCATATTGATATCTGATA